TGCTTGCTTTTCTTACAGTTTCTAAGATTGATCTCTGTTAGTACTTATGTCTACTTCATTTATCTTCAGCGCTAGAAAGTGTTTGGTTGTGTGCCTGTACCATTGATCTGCCCCATTGTTGATGGATGGTTGCTGGTCTCCAGATCTTCTACGTTGGCAGAGCATTGCCATCCATGTCTTTCTGCCTGCTTCCTGGCACAGGTACCAGCCTGAGCAGCCTTGCATTTGCTGGCCCAGCTCAAGGAAGTCCAGGCCATCCTCTGAGCTCCCCACCAGAAGTACCTGCTCCTTCCTGTCAGCTCTCTGAGCGAGGGAAGCTGGGGGATCCAGTGAGCAGAACTGACAGCTGATTTAACCGAGGCACTGGTTTGTCTGTGTTATCCCCTCCCCAGTCCTGGGGCCCTTCAGTTCAGATTTTCATCGTATGTTAATCCACGTATTATGACTCCATTTCAGAAAGCGCCAATATATCTTATCTCACCCACATTCCTGCCTTACTAGCACAACTGTTTCTGCTTTTCTGAACCCCTTGGTCTCTGTTCCGGGACACACTCACACTTACACGTAGCTGTAACATACACATAGCACATGCATTCTACATTTTCTTCCTTAAGGTACTACAAAACCCTTGCTGCAGTCCTCACTGTAAGATGCACCCTAAGCTGTGCCTCCAGGCCAGGATCTGCTTTTCTTCCAGTTTCTCCTCCCAGCTTTCTGTAGTGTTTGGGGAATGATCCTCACGCCCTTAGATCCTGTTGCTGTCCAGCTGCAGAGAAAGCTAGGTTCCAAGCCCCCTGGTTCCTTCTCTTTCTCCCCACGGTCCTGGTGGAGTTTAGCTTTTTTGCCCCATGCACCCGGCTTCCCTTCTAGCCCCACAAAACTCTTAGTAATAGAAAAATAAGCTGGGTGTGGTGGTGCGTGCCTGTAATCCCATCTACTCAGTGGTTGAGGTGAAAGAATTGTAAGTTTTTGAGCCCGGCCTAGGCAACTTAGCAAACTCTATCCCAAAATAAAAATAAGAAGGTTGTAACTTAGTGGTAGAGGGCTTGCCAGCATGCACAAGCCTCTGGATTCAATCCCCTGATGGGGAGAGGGAGGGGAGTAGAAGGGAGGAGGAGAAAGAAAGCCGTCTCCTTTCTTCTCTGTTTTGAGTGAGATGGTGGAAAGGATGTTAGGTCCCGCTCCAGGTCCAGCCCAGCTTCCCAAGCCTGGGGTTGGGGGGGGGGAGGTCAGCTCCCTCTAGGAGCAAGATGCTTACATCTAAGCCCAAAAGTTTTTTTTGTTTTGTTTTGTTTTGTTTTTGGGTTTTTTTGTCTTTTTCATTTTTATCGGTACCAGGGATCGAACTCATGACTGCCTGCTTGTAAGGCAGGCGCTTATGCCGCTGAGCTAAATCCCCAGCCCCCTAAGCCCAAAAGTTAAGCTTAGGTTGGTTCAACTGAAAGACCACCGTTCTCATGCTTGGCAGACATCACTGTGATTAGAACTCTGGGAGCAGTATTGACATTGTCTCTTCTGTTCTTTAGCTGACTTCCTCCAGCCTGAGGTTACTGCTGTTCTCACCAGAACAAGGCCCCAGTCCTCTGTACCTCTGCCTGCCACCAGCCAAACCATCAGCTTAGAGATGACTTTTTAAAAAAAGAGCTGATTTGTAATAATAGCGAGGGGTTAGGAAGTACTTACTGTATACTAGGTATTCTACCAACAGTGTATTCCATTAATATCTGTTTATTCCTCCCCACAACCAAATCAGATAGGAAGCTCATTGTCCCCATTTGGCAGCCATGGAAATGAGACTTGAGGAAGTTGAATCTTGCCTGGAGATTCCTTAGAGTCCTGACGCTGATTCTCTCCCAGCTACCCCAGCCATCTAATCTGGGAATGAGGACTCAAGCAAAGCGGTGATGATTGCCCTTTTAAATTCCCTGCAAGAGGCCTAGAAGATATTTCCCTTACTGGCCAGAAGATATTTTGTTTGTACAATAGCATCAGTTAGAAATTTGCTGCCAGGCATGGTGGTACACACCTGTAATCTCAGTACTCGGTAAGGCTGAGGCAGGAGAGTTGCTACAAAGTGAGATCAAGGCCAGCCTGAACTGCATAGTAATACCCTGTCTCAAAGAGACAAAGGAGAAGAAGAAAAGAAATGTGCAGATCTCTTGTTGAGGCTTCCCTCTTATTTTCTCTCAAGAAGTCTTGACTTCAGAGAAACTGCTTCAGGGACTGCATGACAGGGGAAGAGAAAGAAGAGGTGATCAAGTCTCAACCTTCATCTCCACTGCCTTGGAGAAGGAAGACAGGAAACAGGAGAGTGCAGGGAGTTGCCACCATGGGGACCCCCCCCACACCCTGGATTTGACAGCCTCGAGCCCGGTGCTGGAAGCGTCCTCAGCAAAGGCGCAGTCTGGCAGGGAAAATACTGACCACCAGGGTCACCGTGGGTAGGCAGCCTGAGCTCTGTAAAGCAAGGAGAACGGTGCTTCCTGCGGCCACCTGTTCCAATGCTTAAACAAGGTAGATCTGTGTCATGCTTGGCAAGAGCAGACACCCCATAGAGGCAAATTCCCTTTTGCTATCTGTAGGACCCAGCAGCAAAGCAGAGCACACTCTCAATGTGTTAGGGCCAAAAACCAAGATCAGCTGAAGGAGCAATGGCTGTGTGTCCATGAGCCGAACACTGATTCTCTCCCAGCTACCAGACACAAAGACTTCTCTGGGTCCAAGTATGATTGTGTTCTGTTGTGCACCACGGTCACATATCTGCCACTGCCCTGTCCCTGTGTGCCTCACTGTTTTGGGCTTTGATGACCAAAGCACCAAAAACAAAAAGGAGACTTTGTTTCTGCATGGCTGAAGAACAAGATAGTGAAACCCAGGCCCCAAGGGCTCCTTCCTTGACAGAATCAGCTGGGGACTACTCAGCAACTAGTTGGGCAGTGGAGTCCAGCACTTATTTTGCCATCCTTGTCCCCATGGACATGGACTCAAGAGAGGCCATAGTCATGGTAACAAAGAAGTCCTCTTACAGTAGTCAGTTGGAGAGAAACTGAGACACTGACCTAGGAAGCGGGCTGCTTGGCCATCGGATTTTCCTTTCTCTCTGTTCCCCACCCTCTGTGGCTACCTGTCCTCCCCAGACCAACTCGGCATCGCAAGGCCACTGCTGTTTCCCATCAGAGCGGTGGGTGGGCTCTGATTTACCCCAGTGCTCATAACTGCCTGACTTCAGAAACACCAGCAGCGATGCAGGAACCCTGCCAGAGCTCTGCGGGAATGAGGTCACGTAGAGCACCTGTGTGCAGGGGACTCAAGTCCAGGCCCTGACCCCAGGACAGAGACACTTGCCGTAGGTCCAGGCCTCTAGGTGAAAGGCAGCTGTGGAAGCCCTGGGCTCCTGGGTTGATACAGGGCTTCTCGGGAGTCCTGTGCATTGCTGTGCACACCTGGAAAGTCCCCAGGGAAGGATGGCTGCGCGCATCTGTGTGTGATGCGGCAGAGTGGCAGTCCTGGAGCTTGTTTCTCTCTGGACCTGTTCCCTGTCACGTCCAGCCACTTCTTCTAATAGGTGTGAACATACGGATTCATTTATTCCTTTTGAAGACAGCCCACCACGGCATGCCCACTGGGCTGGCTGCCGCAGCAGGCGACAAAACACCAGGGCCGTATTTCTGGTGCTCGGCCATGCCCCCCACGGAGAAGTAAAATGTCACAGGAGCAAATTACTGACCAAGTACTTCGGGATCTGTAAATATTAAATTTCCTTGGCTTTTATATAAAATTCAAGCTCTGTTCTAGCCTGGAAGGAGAGGTGTCTGGAGAGCTTTGAGGGGGAGGGGACAGGATGCCAATGGAGAGACAGATGTTCCTAGCGGACAGGGAAGAAGCAGACTCTGTGGTGTGGGGGCAGCCCTGGCCAGAGAAGCAGTGGGAGTGTGGTGTAGAGCAAAGTGTAGACACACAGGACTGTCACCTAGGAGGAGCTGTCCTCAGTGTCGGCTGAGGCCTCACAGCTGCTGGTGTGTGTGTTAAGCTCAGTGCTGCAGGTCTCACTGCGGCCCAGGGTCCCGAGTACTACTCCCCCTGGTGCCCTGTGTGTATGGGCACCAGGGCTGAGCCCGGGGTCAGGGGACCCTGGGCTCTTGCCCTGCATGCCACTGTTGCCTTGTGTCTGTGTGAACACTCTGCCCCCATTAGGTGCCTTGTGGTACGGGGTGTGTGTGTATGTGTGTGTTCATGTTCTTACACCACTTCAGTCAGTTTTAGACTCCCTACAGGAGAGAGGTCTCCTGTATTTTTAGGAGTCACCAGTGACCACCTTTTCCAGTGTGCCAAGACCCTGTGTTCAATCCTCCTCCTCTTCCTTTTTTTCTTCCTCCTCCTCCCCGCCATGCCAGGGATCAAAATGAGGACCTTGTATATATTAGGAAAGTACCCTACCACTGAATATACCATGTGCTCAATTCTCAGTTTGTTGAGTGTTTTTGTTTTGTTTTGGGGTTTTTTTTTCTTCTTCAATACTAGGGATTGAACCCCCAGGCCTTCACATTGAGGAACATCCTTGGTCCTTTTTAAATTTATTTTGGGACAGAGTTTTGCTAAATTGCCCAAGTCGGGCTCAGAACTTGCAGTCCTGTTCCAACCTCCTAGAGAGCTGGGGCTGGCTGGGGCTGTAAGCATGGACCACTGCACCCAGCTGAGCGTTCATTTTTTTAAGAGCGTTGCTCATTATCCTTGAAGAGTGGGAAGCGTAGGAACTGCAGCGCCTTCACCATGTTGTCCCTGAGGCCCTGAAGCCCCTGCAGCCCTGGCAAAGCAATTGCTCAGGGTTTCTAAAGCGGTTCCACACCTACCCGAGGAAGTATTGTAGTCAGTGATCAAACCTGGATCCAGCCCAAGACTTTCGGGCTCCAGGCCTGGATTCCTAATCGAAACTGCGCCTTGGGTCCCTGATCTGGCTGCCTCTCCTGGGCTGGTGGCCAAATGAGCACACTCTCTTACAGGCATCCCCACGCTCATCGTGCTGGACCCACAGGGGGAGGTAATCACGCGGCAGGGCCGGGTGGAGGTGCTGAACGACGAGGACTGCAGGGAGTTCCCCTGGCACCCCAAGCCTGTGCTGGAGCTCTCCGACTCCAACGCCGTGCAGCTCAATGAGGGGCCCTGCCTCGTCCTGTTTGTAGGTATGGAGCTCAGTGGGGGCCCAGGGTGGGGATGGGCCAGGATGGACTCCACACCAGTACTGCCTGGCCCTGCAGCCTCTTCCTGCCACTAACACTGTGGAGCTGGGGCCTTTGTCTCTCTGCAGCAGCCTCCCTTTGACCCCAATGATTTATTCATGGTGCTGGCCCTGGGGGAGGTGGTCTGGGAGCTGTTGCTGCTGTGCTTTTCCTCCGAGTTGCTCCTGGCCGCCAGCTGGGTGGAATAGGTCAGGCCTGGAGGAGACCCCAACCCCCCTTGAACGGAGCCATTGTTGGAAAGAGGCCTGGCTGCACACACAGCAGCTGCAGGGGGCTGGGCCCCCTTGGGCCATGCCTCACCCCAGGCTGCTTCTGGGCTGTCAGTGCCCAGAGTGTTCCAGGGCTGCAGCAGCTGGCCCTCCCGGCCTAACTACCGTCCTAACTACCACTTAGGTGGCTGCTCCCATCTAGGGCAGAAGGACGGAAGAACATACGCATTGTGATCCCTGTGGCCCCGTGGGATAAACCAGACTGCTTTTGTAAACTGAGTGACTCGTAGTTTTAGCCAAGAAAGATGTTGCTCCCAGCCTTGGGACTTGCTGCTCTGCAGCTGAACTGCTGTACTAGAGCGGGCTGAGATGGGCCATACCTGGGGCTGGGTGCATCCTTCTCCACTGTCTAAGGTCTGCTTTGGGGAGACCCAGGAGAGGAGCTGATGAGCTGTCACAAGGGAATTCTTCAGCAACCAGACTTATAGACAGGTCTGGGCTTGGGAAAGAAGGCCCCTTGGGGAGAGAAGAGCTGTGGAGAGTCTTCACACTGGGGCTTTTCTGCCATCCTAGGGTTAGTGAGGAAACAGTTCTGAACTCAGAGACAATTAGGTTCCTCATGGCCATCAGCAGAAATGTAAAAACAGGATCCCAGAGAGGCCAGGCAAATTGGATAACATCACAAACAAATAAGGTGGGGATCCAGAGTGGGTCTTGCCATCTGGCTGTGTACCGTGGACCTCTTGGGTGGTGCAGCCCTGCTGGTAAAAGCGCTCTGTAGGAGCCGGCTGTGCCCTCCCCTGCTTCCCAGCGAGGAGATGCTGCCTCGCTCTCTGCTCTAGGTGTCAGCACCCTAGACCTGACGCCGTGTGGGGGCTGCTCCTACTGGGGGATCCTAACCTATGTTCTCGGGTGCAGCTGGCCCTCCGCCTCCAGGCCAAGTCTGGTGCCAACTGCAGAGGCCCCCTGTCACTACCAAAGCTGCAGACTGCACTGTGTTCCTCACGCCCTCTCCACTAGTACTTCTGCCATTTTTACTCCAAGGCCAGAGGTCCAAGGTCATGGCTTTACATGCTGTGATGGAGAAGAAAATCAGTAGGAACCCCAGGGACTTGCTCAGGGGGAAGCTGAGCTTCTAGGGCGGGTTTGTGAGTGCAGTGACAAAGTGTCTGCCCAGAGTGCTGTACCACTCGCTGAGGCGCGTCATCCCTTGTGAGCCAGTGCAGGAATGTACCCTATGAATGTCCTTCATTGCTGCTACACACATATGGGGACATGTGTGTGGACACACGCTGGTGCACATGGAACGTTAGACCTATGCTGAAGACAGAGCTCTTTTCTGGTCGAGGGATGCTCAGAACAGAGCTCAGACCCAGGATTAAGGCCCATTTGGTGGGCACCACTGTTCCACAAGCCAGAAATTTTTTTCTGTCTTCCTCTATCCCAGATTCCGAGGATGATGGAGAGTCTGAGGCAGCCAAACAGCTGATCCAGCCAATAGCTGAGAAAATCATTGCCAAGTACAAAGCCAAAGAGGAAGAGGCACCGCTTCTGTTCTTTGTGGCCGGGGAGGTGAGTGTGTGTGTGGGTGACCCTGGCAAGCCCTGGCAGGGGACTTTCAGGACATGAGTGACACTGGGCTCGAGGTGGTTTAAAGGGACCTCTGGGTCTGGGTTGACTCGGCCATAGACAAACGGGGAAGCAAAGGTGTGCCATCCGCTTCCTACCCCTGCTTCTCTGTGCTACCTCCCTTCCTACTTGGCAGCCTCAGAACTGTGAGAAGCCCTCCGAGGCTGGGGAACCCGCACCACACACATCTACCATCCACTCTCACTCCATGGGGCTAGGTTAGAACAGGCCCTGGGTACTTTAGGCCCTGGCTCAGCTTATCACTTCCTCCACAATGGCCTGCAGAGTGGCCTTACTGAGCCCACTGCAGGGATCCCAACTTGAACACGGGTGGGGTCCACAGCCACCCAGCAGGCTTGGAGAGAGCGCTGAAGTCGGAAACTTGCTGTTCCCAACCTTCAGCATCCAAGGCCTGGCCCTAAAAGGCCTCTGTTGGGCTGGACAAGACAAAGGATTTTTGCCAGGACAAGAAAGCAGTGCTGGGATGGGCCCCTGCGCACAGGTGCCAGTGTACCCGGAGGAATGCAAACCTACCGCACTGCGCAGGCGTGCTCCTTGCTCCCGGCCAAGAACCCTCTGCGCATGCTCACTGCCGCCTGCCCAATCCCGGCATCCTCTGAAGCAGGCGTTCATCAGTGCTCAGTGAGGTCATGCTGACCTGTGTGGACCCCTCTGTACCTCCAGTTGGTTGGAGCCCTTGGGTTTCACACTGTTTGCATCGCAGGAGAGGCGTGGGGAAGATGGTGTGGCCAGACACCCTGAGCCACCCATTCATCACCTCCTCAATAGTCGCCCCTGACTGCCCTCCGAGGGCCCCTCGAAAGCGCTCCAGTCGCCCTGCCTAGCCCTAGGGTGGAGGGGAACAAAGAGGGTTCACAAGCCCTGCCTTGGAGCTCACCAGCGCTGCACACAAAGCGCAGTGAGCCGCTCTGCATGTATTAAACTCTAACCTCCTGGAGAATGGCTGGGAAGAAAAGATGGGTGCAGAACAGAAGGGGCCGAGGGCTGTGGGGCGGAGCTATCCAAAGAAGGCTGAAAAGGAGCATCTGTAGGTTTGCAGGGCCCCAGGCACCCAGCCAAGGGCTTCACCTGCTGCCTCCTTTGTGTCTCACCTCTCTGGCTGGGAAAGCAGCCATTGTCCTGTCTCCAGAGGAGGAAGGTAAAGCTTGAGTGGTCGAGGGACCCCTATGCTCCCTCCAGAGGTCTGTGGGTGCTGGTGCTGGTTCCCTTTCACCTCGGCCCTCTGGAGCGAACGCTGGTTAAATCCACTGGGCAGGGAATGGCACCTGGGCTTGGAGCGGTGTCTTGTCAAGGCCACACGGAAAGGGGCATCAGAGAGGACATTGGAGTTGAGGACACAGTGACTCCCAAAACAGTGCTTTAGGTGCTTGAGCTCGGACAAATGGACTCACTCATGCCTAGGAGGAGGAGGGAGGGTGGGAGCAGGAGGAAGGCTGCACGGACCCAGAAGGCTGGACACGGTGGCTGTGTCACCCACTGTTCCAGGCCCTGCCTGTGCTCTCCATCAAGTTTCGTCATCAAAGGCTTCATTGGTCCCATTCTCTGCCACGTTCAGAAGCAAAGCAGTGTGGAAGGGGCAGGGAGCTGAACATGGGGCACTGACTGAACCCCTAACTCTGGTCTTGAATAAAGGGGGCCCTGCTTCCTGTCTTGCTCCTATCCCCTGTGGCAGGCAGAATTCATCTCTTCTGAAGTCTTAGTGGACGTTACAATTCATCTCCCTGTGATTTGCTCAGCAGGAGGTGGAGGGGGCAGAGCGGAGCCCGTGGCTTGGTCGCATCTCCTAGTGGGAATGAGCCGTGTGGGATTTGTCCAGGTGCCTCCATCCGTTTACCATGAAGATTTTTTATTACCTACATGGAGGCCCTAAATTGGATGGAGGTTGCCGGAGATACTGACTCACTCAGCTTCTTACTAAACATTTGCTTTTTGAGAAAGTAATGGCTTGGGGTTTGTTTTTGTTGTTTTTTTTCTGGCACCAGAAATCGAACTCCCGCTACCTCTGATTCTTTAAGTTTAGAATACTGTCCACTTTACAGCAAAACAACCAGAACTGGGAAGTGTTTTCTGTTATCTGCCAAATGAGGGTCCGCAGTGAAAGCCTAGCCCAAATTGTCGCTGCCTGACAAGCTTTTTTCTCATCATTGGATTTGTGTTTGCCTTTACATTTGAACAAGGCAGAACCTAATATGAGAGATGGCTACCTGGACAGCTACTGGGAATAGGTGAAAAGCGCCAGCTCCCTTCTCAGATGAAGCGGCCACCCAGTGGAAACCTCAGTGCTCAAGCAGCCCTGTCTTCAGGCCGCTCCCGCCTTCCTTGAAAGCGCAGTGTGGGAGGCAGTGAGTTTTTCCTGTTTAAAACCATCCAGAGTCCCAGCTGATCCACAGAGGGGCTACAGATAATTAAAAACTGACTGTGTCTGCCTGCCACGTACCTGTAATCCTAGCTGCTGGGCAGGCTGAGGGAGGAGGATCAAAAGTTTGAGGCTGGCCTCAGCAATTTAGACTTATCTCAAAATAAAACCCAGAGAGGTTTAGGGTGTAGTTTTGTGGTACCACTGATGGATGGTGAGTCTCCAGTACCACATGTCACATACCACACAAAAAAGCGAAGCCAGGCATAGTCGCACATGCCTGCAATCCCAGCACTCAGCAAGCTGAAACAGGAAGACTGCGAAGTTTGAGGGTACCCTGGGCTGCGTAGTAAGTTCAGGACCAGCCTGGACATGTGACACTGTGTCTCAAAAAGCAATGGAAGGGGGCTGGGGGTTTAGCTCAGTGGCATAAGTGCCTGCCTTGCAAGCAGGCAGTCGTGAGTTCGATCCCCGGTACCGGTAAAAAGACAAAAAAAAAAAAAAAAAAAAAAAAAGCAATGGAAGGACATCATATTCCTACAAATCAGAAAGCGTGTTAAAGTTGCTTTCATCCTAATATAGTCAGATGGTTCCCCTGTAGTTTGGGGGACGCAGAGGAAATTAACCGAAGTAGTGGGCTTCACCTTATGCAGGGTGGGGTCACCTGCCCTTCAAGATGGGGGTGTTGTCCATGACTTCTGAGGAAAATGGCTCCCCAGAATGGGGACTATTTTTTGAGACAACTCTACTTTTTAAATTCACTAGTTTTCTCTCCCCTCTGATGATTTCCAGGATGACATGACAGACTCCCTGCGAGATTACACCAACCTGCCGGAGGCTGCCCCTCTGCTCACCATTCTGGACATGTCTGCCCGGGCCAAGTACGTGATGGACGTGGAGGAGATCACCCCTGCCATTGTGGAGGCCTTTGTGAATGACTTCCTAGCAGAAAAGCTCAAACCAGAGCCCATTTAGTGGAGCTCCGGCCTCCTGAGCCATTAAAGACTCAGTCTCCTTCTCCTCCTCCCCTTTTCCCCTCTGCCCTTGGACTTTACCACCACGTACTGAATCACACAGCCCAGAGTCCAGCCTCTCTGTGGTGCCTTGTTTCTCCGTTAACTCCTCAGCCAGCACCCAAAGGTGCACACCCTCACAGCGGCAGAACCTACCATGTTGGGCGACTGCTTGGGGTGTGTGGGGTGATGTAACTCAGCTAACACGAGGACTGCAGCACTCTCTCCAGGTCACTAGCTCTCAGTTAAGGCCCTTTGGGGTGAGGGATAGCAGGGTGGGGCTGTGACTCTGGGTCAGTGCATAAAAACAGCACCCAAGACAACTGGGCGGAAACTGTCCGGTGGCACACGGCATGCAGGTGGAGCAGGGCAGGCACAGCTGAGAGCTGCCGATGCCAGCATCTTTTTTGGGTGGACCTAGTCTTTTATGGTCCTCAGGAAAAACAGCAGCTTGTCAGTGGGTTCTTGGGCAGCAGACCTCCAAATCTAAAAGGAAGCTTATGGGTTTCGGGGTGAGGAAAATGGGTAGCTAAGGTAATGATTCATGTAGTAATTGCTTACTTTTATTGAGCGCCTACCATGTGACTAGAGTTTCTCACTTCTGCCTTTTGCCTCTTCTTTGCTCTTAACTTTCTCCTACTTTCCGCCTGCTGCTGCAAACAGCTCCTGCTGTCTTGGAATTTTAGTAATGAATTCTTTTTCTTGGGCATCTTCCCAAGACACTGGGCCCTGAGTTCTTAGAGGAGCTCTGCCAAGCTGGCACAGACCTGCCTCTGCCCAGCTCTGTGCCTAAGGCTGCTGGACCTCTGCCAAGGCACCTGCATCCCCCCGCCGTTACCCTTGTCATTACCTTTTCTTTTCAAAGCAACACTAAGAAGCGACAGGAATTTACCCGAAGCGAAACTTTTCCTTAAAAGGAAGCTGCAGAGAGAGCTGTGCCCTAAGGCAGGCACGGGGACAGAGGGCAGGGCAACTACGAGACTGCCCTGGTAGCCTGGCCTCTTACTTGAGTTGAACAAACCACAAAAAGGGAAATAACTATGTCCTTACAGTTTGGGGTGGAGGGCCTAGGCCTAGGGACTCACAAGGGCTTTCGCCTGTCTCAGGCAGGTGTCAGGGTCTTCAGACAATCCTGGGCCTTCCTCACAGCTTCACTCAGCACTGTGCCAACCAAAACCATTCATTTGGGAAACGCAGCTTCCCCATGAGCTGTTGACACTGTTGTTCCTTACTGAAATATTGTTGGTTTGTAGTTCAGAGGTACAAATTTAGTTGGTAATTAAACTGTTTGATGTTGCCAGCCTGAAATGCAATCACCTAGTAAGAAATAAAGCAGGCATCTCTGGACATTCTCATCCACTTGGCCTTCCCTGATCTATTAGTGGGTGGCCAGAGACCCTGGTGATTGTGGTGCAGAATTTTCAAGGATCCCAGGGACTGGGGCTGGGATTATAGCTCGGTGGTGGAGTGCTCACCTAGCAGGTGCAAGGACCTGAATTCACTGCTCAGCATAGGGGTGAAGAGGATGGGGAGGCCGTTAACGTGACTGTGTGTCAGATCATCTTGGTTCCAGGAGCCGGGAAGCTCATTTGGATGAGAGGGCCCAACGATGATCCCTCCTGGAGCTCTGGGCACCACCTGGTTTGCCTTGGCACTAGATGGAGGGTAAATTCCCAGATTGCACAAGTTACCAGGGACATTCCTCCTTGTCCATCCCTGCAGGGGAGCTGAGTGCTCTGAAACCAGAGGAGGCTTCTGTGTGGGGGCCAGCGGTTTGCACGCAAAGACTAAGTCAATGTCTTAGTTACTTTCTTGTTGCTAAGACAAAATACCTAGCACCCTCAACCTAAAGAAGAGATTTATTTGGCGCATGTTTTCAGTCCACAGTCTTCCTGACTCCAAGGCAGGACAGGATGGCAGAGAAATGTGGCCTAGAAAACGCTACTCTTGCCATGGCAGCCAGGAAACTGAGAAAACCCGAGCGGAGAGGGAGAGACACTCTTCCTGGTCACACCCCCAGGGATCTGCCTCTTCCAACAGCCCACCTCCTAACAGCAAGTTAGGTCGTAATTCAGTCATCTTCCAAAAGCCCTGCCCATGAGTGCTCGAGGCTCTTAGGGGACATCTGGATCTAAACGACAACACATAGCATAGGCGTCCCTGTGAAGAAAGAGGCAGGAGCTGGGGACACCCAAGCCCAGGTACACCCAAGGGTAAGGGGCTTCTGAAGCAACTCCCCCGGTGGCTCTTGGGGAGGGAAGAAGATGAAATCCTTCCCCTGGAGGATTCCTGTCCATGTTTTCCTTCCCTCCCATGTCTTATGTCAAGCTTGTCTGGAGGCAAGAGGGTCCCTTAGCTACCTGTCTTTGGGAGCAGAAGTCTAGTGAGGGGTCACTGGAATCCCTGCAGTGAAATGATGAGGCGAGGTGTCTGTGATTCTTTGGCCTGTGCTAGGTTGACTCTTCTCAGTCAGTCCTCACTAAAGCCACCCAGATCCTTGTCACCAGAATTCCCCTTTGGGTTGGATATGTAGGTATAGATCAGCAGGGAAGGTTTAATAAAAGGGTTTAGGTCTGGTCAGTGGCTACATTGATAGGTGGGGAATATTAGGGAAGAACCATTTCACAGGTGCTAATGAAAACCCCATCTCCCCACAGCACCCCTAAAGGTTAGTGCTGCAGATAAAGTGGGTGGCATGACAGTTCCCACTGAGCAGCTCCAAAATACCTTAGGTGCCTTGTTGCTATTAGAAGTGGGTTAAAACCCCCAGCTGTGACACAGTCAAAGACTCCCACCAGCTGCAAGGGAAGTCATGCCCTGCAGGTTGAGGGAGAAGGGGACTGTAAGAATGCCACCCCAGGTTTCCTGACCCTGTTCACAACTTCCAGCAACCTCCAGATCCTACTCCACTCATTCTCACAAAAGAGGAGTATTTTTTAAACTTGTCTCGCTGCATTAAAGATCTGTGTAAGGAAAAGGGCTCGTGTTGGGGTTGGTATGTGGAGTGGGCAGACGGAAACCAGGAGGAGGCGACGTTCTGCTATTATGTCCCCTGCCCCCAAATGTGGCTTGAAATCATCCCAGCACAGGGAGCCAGTACTGCTTTTCTGGCATCAGCCAAGCTTCAAGTGGTGATTTCCAGCCAGGCTTTGTTTTCCCCTGTTGCCTAACCAGAGACACTGAAAAGCTGTTCCCCCTCCTGCTGCGGGGCTCCACACAGCAAACTGCATTCAACATCGAGACAACAGGTTACGGTCTAGGAACACACCAGGGAGACCTGACAGTGCTGCGCTGTTCAGGGTGCAGAGAAAACCAGCGGTGTGTGAGGACACATGTAGAAATGTCATGCTAGCAGGGGCCTGCATGAGCACGTGGTCCCGCTCTGTCCGGTCACACAGGAGCAGACACACACTTTGTTCATGGTGCCATTTCTCCAGCTAGCCTGGGCAGGCCCCGGCTTGCCACCTGGGACTGGAATGCCACTGTGGCACAGAGCTTGGAGTGGCAAAAATATGGGCTGCAGAGGCACAGGAGTGTTTCCTGTGGCTCCGCTCTGAGACCTGAGCTGGGGACCCGGAATACAGGAGGGTCCTCACTGAAGTCAGCACCTTCCCTACACATGTTCCTCCCAGTAGTGTGCCTAAGGGACAATGCTCTGGGAACAGATGGTTGTTGACTGAGCTTCTTTATTGGTGCCGTGGCCTGTGAACATATGTGGAGGGTGAAAGGTTCTCCAGGACACAAAAGGCTGGGTGTAGTTTTATGTCAGTTCTGCTTTATGGCTGGGATTTCTCCTCCTGGGAAAGGTATCAGGTGCTTCAGTTTTCATGGCATCAGAGTGGCTCACCGCTGTGGTGTCTTAGAATATTTCCCAAGCCAGGAAATGTATTAGCAGTTGTGGGTGAAACTTGTTCTGAGGGACAGTTAGATTTCTATTAAATAATGTGCAACTGGTATAAGCCACCATCCACCTAGGCCAGTGTGCAAGCCAAAGCAGGCAGAGGCAACCCCGGGTCTGTATTCCTGGGTGCTCACGGCTCACACAAGAGAGCCACCCACACAGGCCACAGTCAGGGCACAGTGACATGGTCTTAGGACTCAGGGAAAAAATGATCATTCTCCTGTGGACAGTGGAGGACATGGAAGTCCCGTCAGGAGGGCCACTCGGCTGGCTTATGGTATGTCCCAGCAGTGGTGTGAAGGAGGCTGAGGCCCGACCTTGTGACAGCCACTGCTCCTCCTCCCCCACCCCTGTTCCTTCCTGCATGGAGGAAGCAGCAGCTTTGGCAACGGCCCACCCAACTCCAAAGAAAGAATAGGTAAGAAAAGGAGTTCTTATCTGCAGCACAACTGGGAACCCCCAGTACTAAGAGCAGCAAAAGTCACATAATCCTAGCTACTGGGAGGCTGTGGTGGACCAAAATTGGAGGTCAAACTGAGCCACACAGCAGGACCCCAACTAAGGAAAAAAAAAAAAGAACTGACCCCACACGTGACATGACCTACTTGGCTGTGTAGAGCCAGAGCCAGTGCTGGCTTACAGGGAGGAGTGGCGTGCAGCATGATGTCAGCTCCTGAGACCACATGGCTTCCCAGTTTGGAAATCTATTGCATCCATTGATTTGGTGTCCAGCTTATCCCATTCACCCGTTCACTCAGGAAAACAGATCTTGGAAGTTAGAAGTGGCAACATGCCAGGCTTGGTGGCACAACCCTACAGTTGCAGCTACTCAGGAGGGCTGAGACAAGAGGATCAGAAGTTTGAGGCCACACTGGGTCATTTAGCAAGACCTGCCTCAAAAACGTAACAGTAAAAGAGCAGGTTGGGGTGCAGCTCAGTGGTAGAGCACTTACCTAGATGTGTGGGATCCTGGCTGGGTTTACATGAGTCCCCAGAACAAAACATGAGTGCTTTCTTCAAAAGATTTAAAAAACAAGCGCAGTGTGTTCTTGAGGCAAGAAGCAGGTGAACCAGAGAGGGTGGACCAGGCCCTGCAGCACAGCTGTGGGTTTTCAGCACTAGCTGGGGAGCCTGGGCAGGTGCTGTTTTGGGGGTCTTTGTGTGAGGAATGGCAAAGGCGGCTCAGCTCTGCTTGAATGGTGGTGACATCTGGAGTTGCTGAGCCCTGGGGCAAGTGCTATAGAAGGTCCTGAGATCCCGTGGGCCCGAAAGACCAGGGAGTTCGGTGGGGGAAGAGAATGCTTTCTGTGCCCCTTGCCCCGCAGCGTTAACTGGCCAACTGAAGGACCATGTGTGGCTCCTGTGTGACTGGGTCCCTGGGGCATTAACATCTGCCCAGAGCTGCCCAGCCACTCCACCAGAGGCTAGCACAGAAGCTGGGCCAGTTGTGCCACTTCCCATTTGAGTTTTTAGTACAAGTCTTCCTGAACTTCAGGCTCTTACTTGCGCCAAAATTATGACAGTCTGCCTGGAGCTCTGATACCGCGGCATGGTCTGTGGTGGACACTTGACCACCACCCCCTTAAATAATTTAAATCCAGAAAACCCGACCCTTCCCTGCAGCTTTGAGAAACATTTCTGAGGCGAGGCCCGCCACCTCGTGGCCGAAGCCAGTACTACAGCAGTGCCGCAACAAAAGGTGGGAGCTTGGCTAGTAGTGAGTGTTCATCTTTCAGCCAAGCAGATTTTCTTGTCAGATGCTGCTCACTTTTATTGTTTACTGCGAAAATGGTGACAAGTGTTGGCCTCAGAATTTCAAATTCATGGTAGTGATTTTCCAGTATGACTCAGGAAACACTGTAACCACCACTTGGTGCCTAGTACTCGTTTTGAAAGATGGGGCTGCCATCCTCCTGCCCCTAGGCTAAATCACACCTGTGAATATGCAAAAGAACCTGACACCGTGCGAGCCCCTGACCATACAGTGAGTAATGTGTTTTCCTGACACCCGTGATGGTGAGGGAGATGGTTTGTTCACTGATTTTTTTGTAATAAAACAGCAGGAATAGGGGCCGGGGTTTAGCTCAGCGGCATAAGCGCCTGCCTTGAAAGCAGGCAGTAGTGAGTTTGATCCCTGGTACTGCTAAAAAGGAAAAAAGACAAAAAAAAAAAAAGAAACCAAAAACAGCAGGAGCATAATCCAGAGACAAAAGACAAAAGTGGAAGATGCCAGGTTTCATGCTGGAAAGATAAAGCCTTCCACTAAGTAACTTGTTTCTTAGCACATTTTTAAGGTGCTGAGGGGGAGACTGTCAGCAGACTGTGGAGTGTCAGGAATTCTCCAGGCTGCCTTCCAGGCAGAGCCTGCTGGTGTGACAGTCAACTTCCCTCCTCTCAAGTTTGCCAGCTGCTGGTGAGCAGCGGTGCAGAAGCTCTGGCCCATCTACTTTCTGAAGGTGGACCAGGGATCTGCGGCCATACACACCCGAGATTTCTAACAGCTGACTGCTGATGGAGAAGCTCAAGAATCTGTGGGCCCCCACAGGAGACATTTGACACCCTAGCTGCAGTTGAGGCTGCTCAGCCTGGGGGGATGCTGCCAACCAACTGCGAACTGCAAATACGCTTTCCTTTAAACACCCCAAAGCAATGCCATCTGTCACTTGGGGCACAAAGCACACCTGACTACCTGGTTCCCCCAAAGGGCAGTTTTACTGGGGCCTGAAGAACATAAAGGGAAGGAATGAGGGTTACATATTTTATCTTGGGTGTGCTGGCAACTTAAGTGAGCACCTAGAGGATCCCCAGAGAACTAAACCACTACCAGAGCCACTGTCTCAAAGGGATGTGTAAAACTATACCCCACTGCTGCCTTTAACCCCTGTTCTTCGTGGTTACAGGAGCAGTGTTTGGCTGGGTGTGGTGGCACACACCTATAAAACCAGCATGTGGGAGGCTGAGGTAGGAAGAGGGTTAGATAGTGAAGTCCAGCCTGATCGACATAGCGAGGCTTTGTCTCAAAAAATAAGTGTTGGGAATGAGGCCCATAGTCCAGTCCACCCACTGCGTCCCAGAGCTGCCCACAGATACAGTGACTGCCATCTGCATCTGTCCTCATGTCCCTTGCTGGCACCTTGTAGATAAGGATCCAGCCTGCTGGGCTCTGAGAGAACAGCAGGGTCCTGCAGCAGTGTGGTGAGCCAAGGGCCCCAAGCACTTAGAATCTCGGCTGCCCTCCCTCGAGGGATCCCTCTGTTCACTGTGCGCAGGAGCACTGACCTGTTCTTGGAAGTTTTGTCCTCTGTGGCGGGAAGGGGACTAGAAATGTAAATAGGTTACATGTAATCAAGTGTTAACTGAAAGAGGACTGCATCAGTCCTGGCTGTCTCAGGGCAAAACACTCCACACCCACAACCCAAAGGGTAACAGGGTCACTGTGGCTCCCAGGTCAGCGGATCCAATTGTGGCGGCTGGCTCTACCGCAGAATCAGCTCGGCAAGAGGGAGCTGCTCGCATGGTGGTTGGGAAACGAAAGCGGAGAGGAGCTGGGAACAACACACTCTGCCAGGTCACCCCACTTCCAGAGTTCTCCAGACCCCAGCTCCTAGCAGTGCTCAGCCACGAGCTTACCAGCGGACTAACCCCTGCCAACTGCACCGCCCGCTTAATCCCAACCACTCTCCAGAGCCCCTTTGGAGAGCAGGAGACTTCGGCAAGACACTAGATCCCAGTCATAACCAGAACTAGTTATGGAAGGCAGCTAGTAGGAGCCGCGCTCTCCTGAGATGCAACATTAACATGCAGATTCTACACCTCGGTTTCCTTTTTGCATAGTTCTCAGGGAGTCACTTAGAGAGGTAAGAGGTACGACACTACTTGATGAATTTTAACCTTTTCTGACTGCCAGCGGGGGACACAGAGGGCAGCTGACCAAACAACTCCAGAGGCTGACACGTGCAGCCCTGACGAACAGCCAGCTGGTGAATGGCATGACCTGTGGCCCTCAGTTTCCCAGGTCACTCGTCTCTTAGAGGTATCCTTATCACTAGGCCAAAGATGAAGACAGACACGCGCTGATCGTGTGCAAAGGAAACTTTTAAAGTTTATTTTCCAGTGACCAATGATCAGATGCAAGTGACTCAGCCATGGCTTATAACCAGCGCTTCATGGCTATGAAACACCCCAGCGATGGAGGGAATGCTGCGGACAAACATGATGTGTTGGGAAACTTTCTGGACAAAAAGATGCTCCTTAGTAACTTTTTTTTTTTTTGGTACTGGAGAATGAAATCACAACCTCACGCTTGCCAGGCACTTGTGCCACTGAACTATTATCTCTGGCTTTTTCTTTTTTTTTTTTTGAGGTGCTGGAGATAGAACCCAGAACCTGTGCATGCTAGCACTCTACCACTAAGCAACATCCCAGCCCTAATGGACAATTTTTAAAACAGATATACACAGCCACATGGATCATATATAACCTCAAACCTGGTGGCGATGGGAGATCTAAGAATTCTGACCTTTGTAATTTATGAGAGCAGAAACTTCTATGGAAATTGTTACTGCTCCAATAACCACGTGATGGCAGTAATCGCTACTTTCTCCTCCTGCACACAGGCTGGGAGGCCACAGCTGCCCACTGGGTCAGTCTCCTGACACCGCCCCAGAGTGGAAGCTAGAGGCGTCCCCTCAGGGATAGCTCCTGTCCCTGCTCAGGTGTTCCACCCTGACCCGCAACTGTCTTTTTCCTTCAAAAAGCAGGATGCTTGCCGCCATGGCCGAGTTCAGGCTGTCCACTCCAGGCACAACGGGAATCAGCAGCCTCTTGCCCCCGGTGCTCTCAGCCAACTGCAGGGACTCCAGGCTCAAGCCGTGTGTCTCCCCACCTACCACCACGGCCGCGGGGGCCTGTGTCCAGTCCAAGTCGTAACTCTGAACCTCAAGCTCAGGGAGCCAGCCCTTCCTGGCTCTGATCTCCAGGTCTTTGCCTTCCTCCTCCGCCTCCTCCTCATACTTGTGAAACTTCAGGTATCGTCGATCACACACCCAGCCATGGTCACTGGCTTTGTTAGACATCTGGGCCTGGGCATAGAGACCACAGTTGTCTGCCACATAGACCCGCGTGTCGGGGGGCAGATAGTTGGGCACTGATTCCCATTCCAGATTGCTGATAATGGGCACCTGGAAATGCGCCCCCATGCCTGCCCGTAGGACTTTGGGCTCCCAGGCATCCACGCAGCCTAGAAAACAAAGTGAGGACACAACTAAGACTTCCCAGATTAGGAAACTAAGCAAATCAGATTAATTTTGGAGCTGTGGCTAAGACAATTTTTTGCATTAAAGCCTTCTCGATAGCTGGGACCTTCCTGAGCCTCCTGAACAATGGCAGCATCCAGCACAGGGCTGTAGGATCCCCTACCAGTGCTCAGAACACTGTCCACACATACATGCCCAGCAGTGCAGAAGGCATGTGAGAGGAAGTACCACCTCGCAGGAAGTCCGGGCACCATGGGTGTTGATGCCGGGACAATGTTCACTCAGATGGTAACATCAGCAATAAGTGACCTGGGAATGCCAGCACTTAGGGAGCTGAGGCAGCAAGTTTGAGGCCAGCCTGGGCTACATACTGTGACAAAACAAAGCTATCCATGTTAAGTGCTATGAAAGAAGCATGAATAAAGTAACTCAAAACTTGCACAAAGGGGAACTTGCAGGAAAAACATCAAACATCGAAGAGATGATGACAGAGCTGGCTCTTTGGTGGCTGTCAGAGAAATGCCCAAGCAGAGGACACAGAGAAGAGGCAGAGTAACAGGATGTAAGAACTGCAAGGAGAGGCCAGCTGACTGTGGGGCTGTGCCGGGAACGGAGAGAGGGACAAGCAGCTGTCAGTGTAGAGGAAGCTAAACCAGAGTCTGGATTTTTTTTTTTTTTTAATTTTTGGGTCTCACTATGTAGTGTAGGCTGGCCTAGAACTCACTAAGTAGCCCAGCCTGGCCTCAAAAGCACAGTAATACTCTTGCCTCAGCCTCCTACATGCTGGGATCACAAGCATGAGCCACCACATACAGCAGGAGTTTAGATTGACTGATAGATTGATGCAGTACTGGAAGTGGAACCCAGGGTCTTTTCACTGCACTGCGATTCTTTGTTTAAATTTTTAAAATTTTAGACAGGGTTCACTAAGTCATTCAGCAGGCTTGAACTTGCAATCTTCCCACTTCAGCCTCCCAGAGTGCTGGGCACCACCATGCCCAACTGGAGTTTGGAATTTTATCAGATGACAATATAATACCTGAGAATTTTAACCAAAACGGTGACAGAACCTGATTTGGTGTTGTAGAAAAACCCACGTGGCTTCAATGTTCACGATCAACTGGAAAAGAAATTCTCCACATAAGAGATGCCAGATCAGGTGCAGTGTGTCCAGGGTGAAGAGAAGTCTTAGCCACTCGCTACATTCTTTGTGCTGCAGGAAGGAGGCCAGATGAACCTACCCACAGCACCCCATGGGCCAGGCCTAACCACTCCTATGTGTTGGCTGCATGGCAGATGCCTGAGCCTTCTCAGGGTCTGCTTTCACCATGGACAAACGGGAGATGGCACAACCAGGATATGGCACCACAGCTGCACCACACACCTGCCGTGTTCCCCTAACTTGTTAGCACAAGCCTGCTCCTGTTGCTTAAATTAGTCTGTCAAACTTATGCAGATTAACTAGGCAGACCAGATTGATTGGTTGATTGATTTTTTTTTTTTTCTTTTTTCTTTTTGAGACAGAGTTTTCTATAGTTCAGGCTGGTCTTGAACCCATTTCATAGCCCAGGCTGGCCTCGAACTCATGGAAATCTTCTTGCCTCAGCCTCATGAGTGCTGAGATTTTACAGGTGTATGCCACCATGCCTGGCCCTGCTTTTGTCTTTTTGGCAGAGTCTTGCTATGTAGTTCAGGTTGGCCTAGACACACTATGTAGCCCAGACGGGCCTTGAACTCACGGCAACCCTCCTGCCTCAGCCTCCTGAATGCTGGGATTACAGGGGTACACCAACTTGCTTGGCTAGGCAGACCAGATTTAAATGGGAAACTAAGACACAGAATGTCAGAGTGTCCACATGCATCCCACACACAAGTTTTACCAGTGCACTGCAGCAAACCAGAGATGAGAGGCAGCTATGGGCCAAGAGATAAGGGGAAGGAACTAGAAGAAGAGCCCAGATCTGTGAGAGGAACTCTGTAATCTGACCACTTCATCTAGCAGAGAGTAAGGAAAAGGTAACGCTTCTCTCCTCACATCCTCACACCGGGACCACAACAAGCACTTCCTCCTACTTTCCCGACCTCTTTTAATACTGGCCACAGCTATCTGGTGCAAACTACTCTGCTTGGAATTGAGAAATATTTCCAAAACTGTATCTGCTACCTGAGTGCTCAACAACGAAGTGAGGTACTGACCGTGGGACCCCAGGATCTAAGTTTCACAATGGCAGAGAAACATACTCCAACAGGGTAGGAACAGGGAGAGCTGAAAGGAGCCACTTAAGCAAGTCTCAGCATGACCACTATTAGTTTATATTTAATAGTCGCTCAGCTGATTGTGATGAACGATACCCCCCCTCCCTCCCTCCACCCCCAAGGTATAATAGGCACCTTCTGCCTGTCCCATCCATTTGGCAACTCTAATTAGAGCCAAGCATCTCAACCCCATTGCTGATGAGAAGAGAAAGAAGGTAATGAGGTAACTAGTATGGAGTGTGTGACCCGTCCTGAGGCTAAGGGAAACATATCACCATGGTACAGTCACACTCTATTGACAGTTCTTCTTTCACAGGACCAGAATTCAAAGGTTGAAGGTCTCAGAGACCCAACAGATTGGGAACACAAGATGCAGGACCTAAAACCAAATATTAAAATTGGCACCTGTATTTGCCCTGATTAATTTTGAAAAAAAAAATTTTTTTTTTGCATTTTTTTTAAAATTTTATTTAAGGAGAAAAAGAAAATTTTGAAAAATTTTAATAACCTGGCACAGGTTTTAAAATACTTTTACAAGATAAATCAACATTTACTGGATCACACATTATCTTAGGCATGGTACAAAGTATTTTATCTGAATCATCTCAGGTAATCCTCAAAATTTCTTATGAAGAGAAAAGTCTGGCCTGGTGATGCACACATCTAACCTCAGCACTTTGAAGGCTGAGGCAGGAAGACTGCTATAAGTTTGAGGCCAGCCTGGGCTACATAGTGAGTTCAAAGCCAGCCTGAATTACATAGTGAAAATCTGTCTTAAAAAAAAAAAAAAAACAAACCAAAACCCCTATGAGGAATACTATATATTCCCATTTTACAGATAAGGGAACTGATATTTAGTATATTGCTCATGGATATAAACTAGTAAGGGGCAGATCCACAATTTGGACCCATGCATGTCTGCCTAGAGCCCTGGCGCATTTAAAAATGGCCAACCAACTCACATGGCAATAGGTGCACTTACCTTTAGTGAGTAACACTTTGCTGCAGCCTGCCCCAGCTGCAGATCTCAGAATCGTCCCTAGGTTCCCAGGGTCACGGAGATTGTCACAAATCAACAATAAAGGCAGTGAATGGTGGAGCTGATTCTTTGGATACGTCATCTTCACACAGTCAGGTTTGGCAAAAATCCCTAAGGAAAGAACACAGGAGGTTCATTTATTTGATGTGGGCACCGGCAATAATTTGAATTGCCATCTGTTTACCCTTCATTATGTACTCTTAATTACATACAAAAAACATATAAATTCATTCTGTCTGAAAAACTTGAAATAAAATTCCACCACTGTAAACCCTCTCCTGCCCACCTGTTTTCAAGCCTGGAGAGTATCCTTTTAAAACTTTTGCATGTACTGACATGGAGACTACTTCTTTTTCAGCACAAACAAATTATTATTCTGTGATCTACTTTACTCAATAACATGTCTGGGAAAACATCATGTCAGGACATTTGGAACTACTTTAACTGCTGCATGTTATTTAGTAACATAAACGTATTGCAGTTCATTTAACTCTTCTACTGACAAATCACTTAAAAATTTCATACTACACACACTGCTACAATAACTATCCCTTATGACATGTGTTTATGTCTGAAAATTTCTCTAGCACAAACACCTGTGAGGTGGACAGACAGTGTACACCATTTTTTTTAATGTGCATATGTACTTCTAACGTTAATAAATGACACTGAAGTACCCTTTCCAAGGGCTATTCTAGTTTACTCACGTCTGGAACACATAACTACCTATTTTCCAGCTCAAATCCTGACACTGAAAGTATATAATGGTTCAATGTTTGCCATTGTGATGAGGAAAGTGGCATTTCATTTATTGACATGCAGTTTTCCTATTAGGGAGGCTAAATATTTTTATTTTATTTTATTTATTTATTTATTTTTTTTTTTTTGTCTTTTTCGCTTTTATCGGTACTAGGGATCGAACTCATGACTGCCTGCTTACAAGGCAGGCGCTTATGCCGCTGAGCTAAATCCCCAGCCCCTAGTTTTGGGTTTTTTTTTTTTTTTTTTTTTGAGGCTAAATATTTTTAAATAATTTGTAAACTTAGGGCCAGGGATATAGCTCAGTGGCACAAGCGCCTGTCTGACAAGTATAAAGTCAACTCCCAGTACAAAAAAAAAAAAAAAATTGTATATTCAGCTCGGCATGGTGGCACACACTTGTAATCCCAGCACTCAAGAGGTTAAAACAAAAGGATCACCCCAAGTTAGAGCACAGCCTGGGCTACAATAGTAAGTTCAAGGCCAGCCTGAAGTACATAGCAAAATCCCGTCTCAAAAAAGAAAAACAATTTGTAAATTTAACCTAAATATTTAAAAATTAGTCTGCTGTATCTCACTTGAGACTTCTCTCTTTTTCATGGCTTATTTTAAAATGCAAACTACATTCCCAGGAAAAATAATCTGAATTCAAAAAATGAAAGCATCAAAATAATGACTCCCTTTTCAAATACCTAAGCTCAGAGGCACTATTTCTGGGCCACACTCCACAAAGGCTGCAAAATGAAGGGATTGTGAGTGTAGGCAGGGATTAAATTACTTCTAAAGTGTCGTGCTAGAGGTTCAGAAACTTCAGAGTTTTAGATCAGTCACAGCCATATTTGCCTAGTGACTTCCTTGTCCTTAGTCTAATACAAAAGAATACAAATGGGCTTGGCAGTATCTGGAAAAATGGAGACAGTAAGTGGTATCCTTAGTTAAAAGTTTTTATTTAATAATCTCTACACTGTACTCTCCAGCTTGCCAAGTCTTGTGGGAAATGTTTAGGAGAAAACAAAAACTGGAAAAAGGTTAATATTAAAATTAAAATGGCCTTACAGTATTTGAAATTTCTATGGTGCAGATGAACTTATTCTCATGGGCATACTGCATATTCACAGCAAGTTTCTTCCTGGTGAGCTGGGAGAGGTGGTAATGGTAATAGTTTCTTTAGGTTAGGCACTGTTCTAAGCTGTTTATATAAACTGATACCAAATAAAAGAGTTCCTTTGTAAGCATGCTCCCAAATGACTGAACAATTTTCTAAACTTTACTAGCATTTGTTATATATGATTGCTTCAATAAATAAGTTACTAGCCAGGCATGGTGGTGCACATGTGTAATCCCAGCACTCTGGGAGACTGAGGAAGAAGACCACAAGTTTGTGCTCAATCTCAGGAATTTATCCATTTAGAGAGACCCTGTCTTAAAACAAAAAAAAAGTAAAGAAGAGCTGGGAATGTAGTGTAGCTCTGTGTAAAGTTTGGGTTCAACCTCTAGTGCCACAAACAAAAAAAGAAAAAACAAAACAAAACAAAAATCCCAAATTACTGCCCTCATTCACAATATAAAGAAAAATTTAGGAGCCTCTCCAAAGTCCTGAATGTAGACAATGCCATGGCATCAGGCAGCTATGTGTAGGGATCCTGTACTTTACAGATGCATCATGGCCACAAGATGACTCAGATGGGGAGGGGAACTTAGGAGTCCTTAACATACTTGGTTGTCTACCTGTAGAGGACCCACTTACATCACTGGGTTTTGGAGTGTCTAACATTTGATATGCAGTGCTAGTTCAAATCAATTTCTCCCCTCAACCCCTCCTCAAATTTGAAATATAACATCATACAAATCAGCTGAATAACACGAATTTTTTAAAATGATGAAATGGCTGAGTGTGGTGGTATAATCCCAGGACTCAGGAGGCTGAGGCAAAAAGATTCTCTAAACTACACAGCAATACCCTGTCTCAAACAACAACTGCAACAAGAAAACAAAGATGAAGTGATTACTTTTTTTTTTTTGAGATAGGATCTTGGCTGGCTTTGAACTATGTAGGCCAGGCTGGCCTTCAACTCACTGCCTTGGCCTCCCAAGTGCTGGGATTACAGGAGCAGTCATGTGCCAGCATATCTGGCTAAAAGGAAATGATGAAAGCAGTCATCATTCATCATTATAGAGGCTACTCAAGTCCAAAATAGGCTGGCCTCCATCATCACACATGCCCAAAATGGCAAGCAGGTAAAAATGAAAGCCACTGTCAGTTAAGTACTGAGCGAAGATTAAAGGGGTATAGCTAATGAGAGTACAGCTACTTTGTGTAACTCCAAATTCTTTAATATCTCACGTCCGCACCATACAATCTGAGCAACATGTGTGGGGAAACCAATCCCTGTGAACCAATGGATTACAGAGACAAACTAGTTTCTTAGAATCTCTTCTTTCAACTAATGGCTATATGGTCCAACGATGGAGTCACAACAGTGAGCCCACAACAGGGAAATACATGTAGCTCCAGTGCCAAAAAGGTGTAAAGAATTATTTTCCCGAATTTAGGGTTGGGGATTTAGCTCAGTGGCATAAGCGCCTGCCTTGCAAGCGTGTGGTCATGAGTTCGATCCCTGGTACCGATTAAAAAAAAAAAAAATTATTTTCCCGAATTTAGACAGAAGTACTCACAGATATCATGATTACGTGAACTCTTAAGTTAGATTCAATCAAATGGCGTGTGGTCATGAGTTCGATCCCTGGTACCGATTAAAAAAAAAAATTATTTTCCCGAATTTAGACAGAAGTGCTCACAGATATCATGATTACGTGAACTCTTAAGTTAGATTCAATCAAATGCATAAAGACCGCAGAAGACAAAGTGTTCTACTCATTAGGCTAACAGCAGTAAATTTTAGCTTACTCCTCACTATTTAGACCTGCCTCTGAAGTAAGATTACTGATAACTATCACCACAGTGGCTGAGGTTTCATGGAAACCGAGAGCAGTATCTTTTAGGAAATACTTCAATTTTTAGTCTGACGTTAAAAGTTGAAGAAACACGAGGAATAATGGCTTTTCCTAAAGACTGTAAAAAGCCCTAATACAGATGTACAAAATTGGCTTCAGCTTCCACTGAAAACATCATACACAGGCTTAAGAACTATACTTTTTTGGTGGTGTCTTAAGAAAGGATTCAGCAGTTAACATCAATTTGTCTTAAGTAAAATTTGTTGCTCTAAGACAGGTATATGGACAAGAAATTCTAAGTCGTTACACCTAGTGACACATTGTGTAACCACTAACCCATTATTCCTTGTGGCGCTACTAGATCGGACCAATCCTTGATATCTTCAAATTTCACCTTTATAAGGCTGACTCCTTTTAATTTATCTGTTGGCAACTCCTTAATGTATTCCAGACGGCTAAAGAAAAAAACTTTCGGTACAGCTCCTGCCTGGAGAGCATCTGCAATCAGCCTGCGACCTTCCAAAAGAATCTTCCCTTGCTTTTCTCGAAATGACCGGGACTTAACGATTGTCATTACACTTCTGTGGGTTAAAAACAGAAAGATGAGCGATTATCCATATTGTTACTGACACAAACAGTTTCACTGGAATAGAAGCACATTCCAAGCGACATATGTTCTGAATAGTACAATAATAAAAGAATAAAATAAAAACTATCAGATTGTGCTGGGAAAACTTCACCCAAAGGAGGTTAAGGTCCCGCTGGGAGGCAGGAAGAGAAACTGGAATAGGTGACAAGCCTCAGAAACACATCACCTCAGCCTTCTGTCTCCAGGAAAAGCTTTATCGTAGTGCAGCCCTGCTTCTTCCCAGGTGCTAGGCGTCTGGGATGGGGATATGTGAAGCGGCTGTTTATGTCGCTGCTCCTGGGGACTCGCTTCAGGGACTGTCTTTCGGGGCTGTTTCCCGGGAGCACGCCTCTGTTCCAACACTTCTCCAGATGGAAATACTACTTTCACGGGGCTCCTCCGCAGAGCCCGCACCCAGCGCCTTGCTTCGAGGTCCCAAGTCTGGACGACCGGCAGCAATGGCTTCGCAGCACACCTCATGTACAGAGCCAATGCAGCCATCTTCCTGGCGCGGAATGATACGTCACGAAAGCGCGCCGTCGACATCTAATGACGTCACTCGCGCTTGCGCGGTGTTGCATCTGTTTCTTGAAAAGTTTCTTTGCTTGTGGAAGACATGACGTCTCGCCGGGCTTTGCACTTCGTGTTCAAAGTGGGAAACCGTTTCCAGACGGCGCATTTCTTTCGGGATGTCCTGGGGATGAAGGTAGAGGCTCGGGCAATAGGGGCAGGTGCGCCGGGTTAGGACAAGCGACTGAGCCACGCTTGGCAAAAGGGGATGGTGGAGAAATGGTTGTGTAGTGAAGCCGGAGGACTAAGAATGTTCCTAGCTGCCTGAAGTTAGGCCTAAGACTTCCCAATGGCACTGTGGGGTTTTCAACTTAAGGTAACGTTGCGAATCTCTGAGTACAGGTGAGGTCATTTTTCAGTGGCTAAGTCAAGCCTAATTTTTGAAGGGAAACTAATGTGCCATGCTCTTTTACTTAATTCATTCGCAAGTATTTAATGCGCCCCTGCTTCTGGGAAACTAGTCTACTGGAAAACAAAACATTATAAAATACATCTGTAAGGTTTTTTTTTAATTTTTTTTTTTTTTGGTCTTTTTATCGGTAACTGGGGATCGAACTCACGACTGCCCGCTTGCAATGCAGGCGCTTATGCCGCTGAGCTAAATCTCCAGCCTCTACATTTGTAAGTTTTGATTTCTGTGTAATCAGACTATTCAAAGTCCTACACACTTGCCGTGGCTCGAACCCAGGGCCTTCGTACTGAGCGACATCTCTCCCCTTTTCAGTTTCTTTGTTTCGTTTTTGTTAGTTCGTATTTATTTACTAATTTATTTAAAGATAGGGTCTCTGTGCTCATACTGGGCTCGATCTTGCTACATCCTCCTTCCTTCAGAGTTCTCAGTCATGGCTGGCTCGAATAGTCTGTTTTTGGGTACCCTGTCTCTCCAGGTAAATCTGACTCGGACTCTCCTTTCAACACTTAAGATTTTGAGTCGGGCGTGGTGGCTCACGCCTGTAATCCCAGCATTCGGGAGGCTGAGGCAGGAGGATCGTTGTGAGTTCGAGACCAGCCTGGGCTACAAAGTGAGCCCAAGGCCAGCCTGTACTGCATAGCAAGACCCTGTCTCAAAAAGACCAAAAAAAAACAACTTCAGATTTAAGTATGAGGTCAGAAACCATTCTCCTTCCCACTTCTTGGAAGCAGCCTGTCTCCACGTCTGAGAAGCTAATCTTGCAGAAGTCACTTAGCTGAAAACTCGGGTAGAAATTACTAGGAAACTCCTGATAAGCTAGGGAGAGGAATGGTAGGGAGGATACCAGTCTTTGAAAGAACAGCAGTTCAGTTTAGTGTGGACAGAGTGCAGAAAATGTGCTAAGGGAATTCCAGCATTTACAAATCATTTTTAAAATATCCACTCTTTTTCAGGGTAATATGTAGACTTTTTGGAAAAGGTTCAGATAATCTTGGTATCTGTCTTCAGAGCTCATGGTCTGGGCTGGGGTGGACATGAGAAATGCATTTGTACATAGCTAATAGTAATGGAACTCAGAGTTTGATAAGTGATAGCAGAAAACCATAAAACTCAACTGTGGTTCTTTATTGATCAAAGGATTAAATATTATATAGAGATAATATTTAACGTATTGGTCAAAGGGTTGCAAAGATTAAACATGTTTTTTATTCGCAAGATGGTATTAAAAATAGGTAGATGCTATTCAACACATCAATATTATGTGTTCTGTAAGTGTTAGCCACTGTTACTATAAAAATACAAAAGGGGGTGGGGATGTAGCTCATTGGTACAATGCATGCCTGCCATACATGAGGCCTTGGGGTTGATCCACAGCACTGCCAACACAGCACAACAAAACAAAAAAGGTGAAACAGTCTTCCAACCTGACTCACCAGGAAATAATTCATGGAAACTTTGCGTATAACTTGACCTCTAAATAATAAATGATTTCCACAGATCAAGATTATAGAGACCAAGGGCCAGAGATACAGCTCAGCAGCACAGCGCCTATCTGGCAAGCATGAGATTGTGAGTTCAATCTCTGGTACAAAAAAAAATCATTAAAGATTATAGAGGCGAATTATACTTTTAAAAAATTAGTAAATGATACAAAGATAGATTTGGGAAGTAACATTAGCTTTATGTTCCTTTAATTTAGCTAAGGTTACTTATTTAAGTTGAGATGAGTTATCATGGCAAATAGCTTAGAATTGCTTCTGATAGAGTCTTGAATGTTATACTAAAGTATGAGGATTTTACGCTGTATAAATGGGGAATTCTTTTACATTTTTATAAAGAGCCCTTGATCCAAAAAATTTTATTTGTAATCTCTTAGAAAAGTTATTGGAATTCTAGTGAATTAATTCCAGTCTACCACTTCCAGTGCAACCCAAGGCAAGAATAAAGACACTAAGATATATATATAGTTATGGGGAGCAAGGGGGTCCTAAGTCCAGTCAAGATGTTGGTCCTCGGGCTGGTTTTAGCCCAGTGGTTCCTTCGAGTTTGGTTTCCCAACTGCCCGAGCCGATTGGTTCGGTGGTTCGAGACCTGGGGTGCCCTCCAGTCCTTTAAAAAAAAAAAAAAAAAAAAAAAAAAAAAAAAATATATATATATATATATATATATACACACACACACACACACACATATATATATATATATATATATATAAGGTTGGTTCTCTGGAACAAAAGCCAACTCGTGTTTTATTAATCCTCCATGAGGAGAGTGACTTGGGATGACTGACAATGAGAGTGGAAATACATGAATGCCCTGAGATCACCTCTGCAATATGCAGAGGGAAAGAAATGCAGAGTGAGTACTCTGCATAACACAACTGAGGTAGTATCTAATATTTTGGGGTTGGTGCTTCAGCTCTGATGTACAATCTTTTTTGCCCTGGGATGTCATAGCCTCTTATCTTGAGGCTCAGTGGTCCCAGCCAGCAGCTCTGCATGTCTTCTCCTGGGATGGTGAAACAGTGACTGTCCCACCTTGCTTCAAAGATTATACTTCAGCTCCTCAGCCAGCCCAGTTTACACTGCTTAAAACCAATTGAAGGGACAAACAAATGGCCTTCCCAGCTCTGCATATGTCAGTGCATGGAGATAGGGCCCAGTTTATCCAAAATGGAGGTTATTGCTGCTCATCCAGGTGGTTCCCCACACATTTTTAGGACAGGGCAGTGCTGTATTAAGAGCTGTATTTTAGAGATATACTATTATAGTGATGTTGAGGAAGATGAGTGCAGTTCATTTTTAGTAGTCTTTATAAGAAGATTCAGGGCGCCAGGTATGGTGGCGTATTCTGGTGATCCCAGCACTTGGGAGGCTGAAGCAGGAAGATTGCTCTGAGTTTGAGGCCAGCCTAAGTTACAACCTGAGTTCAAGGCCAGTCTGAATTACATAACAACACTCTGTCTTAAAAAGACAAAAAGAACAGGAAGATTCAATTGCAGTAGTAGTGATGGAAATTAAAAAGGAAAATAGAAATTAAGACTGCCAGAGCCCCGCTGTATACTGGACTCTGTGTTAGATGCTGACAGGTTGTCTGTTTTTACCAACTCAGAGACTACGCTGTTTACTTAGAGTTACACAGTGTTATACTATATATAATCACAAATTATACTTATATAGCGTTAAAAACCAGACTTTCTTCTTTACACAGTACTGCTTCCCAAACCTAAATAGATTTATTGATTTGTTTATAGTCTGACTCTTGGTATGAAACTGTTGTTTTGTACCTGTACTATTTCTAGCTTGAAAAAGATACAAAGTCTCCCCTCCTCCCTCCTTAAATAAAGCTTGTAAATGATACTCTCTGTGTTTTAACCTTTAGTGCTAACTATGCTATATGAGGTACTGGTAAAACTTGACAGTTCTGATGCCTTTACCAGGTTCTGCGGCATGAGGAATTTGAAGAAGGTTGCAAAGCTACATGTAATGGGTATGACACCTTGTATCTTTTGTTTGTTTGTTTGTTTCATTTTTATTGGTACCAGGGATCGAACTCAGGACTGCCCACTTTCAAGGCAGGCACTTATGCCGCTGAGCTAAACTCCCAGCCTGACACCTTGTATCTTAAAATCTCCTTTAGACTCTGAGTGACCTCAGGTAAGTATAAGACAGTGGAATAAACTAAGCAAACAATAAATTAGAGAGACAATTTGAAGAACACTGAGGAGACATCCCGCATTTCTCTTCACCCTCACACACTTCTGATACACAAAACTGTTCTCCAGCTCTTCACATACCAGCCAGGTGTCCTGCTATTTAATTCATTTCCGTACCTCTCTGGAGTTGGTGTCAGATGCTACAAGCCAAGGGCTCAGTCCCACAAGACTGCCTCCACTTCAGATGCCAATCACAAGTCTGAGCTATAAATTTAGGGTTTGGGGGCTTACTGGAATTTGCCTGCTTTTTATTGATGTGCAAAGAAATAAACGAAAGTCAGGTTGGAAAATTCTCTTTAGGTGACCTGTTCCCTCCCTTGAAGAAAATGTAAGTGAATCTTTCCCAGTAGTTAGTGCTGGACAAGTGCTGTTTGGAATTTATGGCTGGGGCCCTTGAGCACTATCTGTAGCCTTGTCTGAGGTCATCTCATCTTCGTGAGGACTTAGAGGGACAGAAAGGACTGCTCGCCTGTCTGTCCCCAGGAGTTCTTCTGGGGAAGGAGAGCTGGGTAGACTTCGTGTGTGGTCACTAGGTTCATTTACTTTCATTTTCCTAGGCCTTATGATGGGAAATGGAGTAAAACGATGGTGGGGTTTGGGCCTGAGGATGATCATTTTGTCGCTGAGCTGACTTACAATTACGGCATTGGAGACTACAAGCTTGGCAACGACTTCATGGTAAGGGTTCCGTCCCGGGAAGTTTTTGGCTGGGGAGATTTGTTTTAAAGTAGGGCTAGCTATCCACATGCAGAAGATTGAGTCTAGACCCATTATCTCTTACCACGTGCTAAAGTAAAATCAAAATAGATCAAAGCACTAAATGTTAAACATTTAACCTGCTGAAAGATGAAATAGGTCAAACTCTTAAAAATCATAGTTGTCGGCAAGGACTTTCTGAATAAAACCCCAATTGCACAGGAACTAGTACCAAGAATCAGCAAAAGGAATCATAAATTAATTTCAAGTAGAGTATTGAGGGGGTGCATCAGAAGGTATTGTCGGAGTAAAGGTTCAAAGAAGGTATGGGACTTTGCCATATGGGTACAGTGACGGACAGAAGGAGCACTCCAGACAGAGAGAAGGTCCTGCATACAGGGCCTTAAGCAGTGTCTGGCATGTTGCAGGAAATGCAAGGAAGCCAGTGTGGCTGGAGCAGAGAGGAGAAGGGGAAGATGGCAGGAAATAGGGTCAGAAGTGGCATGGAGTCAGACTGTATGAACCTTTTAGGCCCTCAAATACTGTCCAAGTGAAATCAAGAGCTATTGAAGGGTTTTGTTGTGGTCCTGATTTTGGTTTTGGTTTTTTGAAATCACTAGTCCTGTGTAGTTCAGTCTGGCTTTGTACTCACTGTATATCCCAGGCTGGTGTCTGAATTCATGGTGATCCTCCTGCCTCAGCTCCCATGTGGTGGGGATACAATTATGTGTACCATCACACCCAGCCATTGATGGTTTTGTGTTTTGGAAGGTTTACTCTGGCTGTGGAGTGTGGATTAACAGGAGTAGAATGAAAATTATTACGGCAGTCTAGCCTAGAAATGAGACCAGCTGTATATGAAGGCAGAGGTGCACGTCATTAGATATGTTGATTAAATTTAAAGACTGATTTTATAGTTGATTACATTTTTGTTTAAAGAAGTAAAACAGACATGGTGCTGCATGCCTGTAATTCTAACACCTGAGACACTGAAAAAGGAAAAGTTCAGTGCCAGCCTGGACTATATAATGAGACCTGATCTCAAATAATAAGAAAAAATGAAAAGCAAAAATAGGCTGATGACTGTGGCTCAGTGGTAGAGCTAGGCTTGCCTAGAATATCCAGGAACCTGAGTATTCAATTCCTAGCACTGGGGGAAAAAAGAGAAAAGAAAATGTAAACAAATAATCTCAAATAGGTAGCTGGCAGACCCAGATCATGATTTCTCTGGCTAGACCTTGAATTTTTTTTTTTTTTTTTTGTCCTGGAGATCAAACTCATGACCTGGCCCTTACCAGGCAAGCGTTTGAGGCACTGAGCTAAATCCCTGACCCTAGATCTTGAAAATTTAAAGAGATTATCTTTAATATTGAATGGTCAAACTTCACTGTCATTTGAATTTGTCCTGTGATTTATGAAGTTCTGAGACTGTTGAAGAAAGTATCCTAGACTACTTTAAAGTTACTAGGACAAACTCCAGGAGGCTGAGGCAGGAGGGTCACTGTGAGTTTGAGGCCAACCTGGGCTACATAGTGAGTTTAAGGACAACCTAAAGTACATAGCAAGACCCTGCCCCTGCCTCCAAAATACTAGAACAAAAATTGTGAAAGCCAGTTAAATCTAACCTAGGCAATGAAGGCAGTAGGGCTTGGATTCCTTCCCGTGTACTGTGAAAGATAGTTGTGATTACACATGTAGATGTTTCTGTCATTTGTCGTAGGGAATCACACTCACTTCCAGCCAAGCTGTCAAGAATGCCAGGAAGCTGGAGTGGCCACTCAGTGAAGTTGCAGAAGGAGTTTTTGAAATTGAAGCCCCAGGAGGGTATAAATTCTACTTGCAGAATCACATTCCACCTCGGGCAGGTAATTTTATTAGGACTGGAAAGGCAGTAGACGGGCTTTTTTGTGGGAAAGAGAGAGCTGGATTTCTTTCTCTGTGTAGAGTCTTTCTTATTGACATGATGTATCCTTCCCAAATCAGTGCTTTTACTGTTCTCTGAGAAATTCTATTCACATGTTAGAGTGTTGGTGTGTTAACTACAGAGAATCTAGACTGGTTCTGTCCTACTGGTAGTGTGTCTGGGTAGAGGTCTTTCAGTTACGAATAACAGAAAACCTAACTTAACCTGGTTTGAAAAATAAGAGTTTCTTTTAGCTCCACAGTAAATATTCCAATTTCTTCAAGGGCATTCCCCACCCCTGTACTGGGGATTGGACCCCAGGACCTTTGCCTTGAGCTATATCCCCAGGCTTTGCTTTTTATTTTATATTTTGGTGCTGAGGATCAAACTCAGCCTTGCACTTGCCAGACAGGTGCTCATGCCGCTGAGCTGAATCCCTGGCCCTTATTTTATATTTTGAAACAACTGAAGTGAGCTAATACTTGTGACTCACCTGCCTCTGCTTCCCAGAGTACTGGATTACCAGTGTAATCACCAGTCACCATCATGACTCAACAGGTATTCTAAGGGTAGGAAAGATTTCAGGGTTCGTCAGTTGAGTGGCTCAGCAATGTTGTCAGGAACCCATATTTTCTTTCTATATTCTGTTGTCCTCAATGCATTTCTCTGAGACTTAATCCCCTCATGATTGTATGATGGCTGCTGGTAGTAGCAGCTGAGGCTAATGTTCCCATGCTTACTCTAGTAGGGAAGAACCTGAGTTCTTACTATTACTCTTAAAGAGCAGAGCACGTAGGCCTGGATTACACAATGAGTTTAAGGCCAGCTTAGACTACATGGTGAGGCCTCATCTCAAAGACCAAATAGGGCTTGGCACCATGGGGGCACACAACTGTAACGTAAGCACTTGGGAGGCTGAAGCAAGAGGACTGCTGCAAGTTTGGGGTCAGCCTGGGCTACATAGTGAGCTTAAGGGCAGCCTAAAAGACATAGCAAGACCTCGTCTCAAAAAAACAAAACAATAGCAAAATTTCTTCCAGGAATCATCCACCTATCTTCCTGGCCAGGTATAATACACTGTACCTGCCCCCAAACCAATCATTGGCAAGAAAAATAAGGTTATCCCTACTCCAGTTAGCTACACTTTTGAGCTGAGTTCAGTTTCCCAAACTGTAGTGCTGCTTCTTAGGAATGAAACAGAAACAAGCTCAGCACACTAAAGGAAAGCCGCCTCCTGGGGTGTGTTTTGTTTGTGGTAGATGTAGCATTAGCACATGTGTTTAAGCCCTGCAAACCCAGCTCCCTCTCTGCCAAAACAGGCAAAACTGGCGTGCCTGTGCGTGTGCTGGTGAAGAGCGCAGACAGTGCTGCCTGCCTTCCCCCTGCTGAGCATGTGTCTGTAAGTGACCTGAGGTGGAAGCCAAATTCTTTCCCGCGCTGGGCTGCCTCAGCTCCCAAATGCTGGGTCTGATTGTAATGTTTCATGCTACTTGTTTTTCGTCTGATACTCAGCAAAAGAGCCAGTTGATGTGGGAGGTTGGACTGATTGTGTGGGACTTACTGAGAAATGGTATTTCTGTATTTCACTGAAGACTTTAGTATACTAGTTTTTATTTTTGCTGATAAGTGGGAATTTTATTTTACATACTGACTTTAGACTTTAACTCTTGCAATTAACTCCCGTACATATTTTTTATGTACTCTTGAGTACAGAAAAAATATGTACGGGAGTTATCCTTAGGGTTGAGTATCCTTATTCTGATTCCAAATATCATTCTTTAAAGCATCACCTTGGCACTCCAAAAAGTTTCAGATTTTGAAGTATTTTGAATTTTGGAGTTTTGGATTAGGGATAAACAAGTAGTAAAGTCTGTGCAAATAAAACTTTAAAGTCTGAAATAGTTCTGGTCCCAAGCACTTTTTTTTAAGAGACATTCAACCTAGACTTCAAATAATGGAGAGTTCCACAACCCTAAAAATTGTCTTCTGTAATGGTAATGCCTTTGGGGCATAAATCTCTGCTTGGTAACCTAGTCAAATCTGTCAGGCTAGTTGGTGTCCATTCTGTTGAATCATGTGGTCCTGTGTAGTTTTACCTGATTTCCATTCCTGTCCCTGTATCTCTTCAGGTTCTGGGTCAACTAGGATTTGTTATTTTGAAATAAATGGAAAAAACAAATTGAATCTGCTCGGAAGAGGCACTTGCAAGAAATGCTACATCACTGAGCTATACCCCAGCCAGGTGTTAAGTGTTTTACTTTTGTTCTTTTGTTCTTTTTACAAAATAACAGATTTAAAAATTTTTTTTTATTTTTTGGTACCAGGGATCAAACTCATGACCTTGCACTTGCCAGGCAGGCACTTATACCACTGAGCTAAATCTACATCCCTCGATTTTTTTTTTTTTCTTACAGAGGCACACATGATACATGTATGCACATGTTCATGCATACACACAGAGCAAAAAATTAAGAGGCCAGGCATGATGGTGAATGCCTGCAGGAGGCTGAGGCAAGAAGATCTCATGTTTGAGGCCAGTCAGGCAACTTAGCAAGACAGTGTCTCAAAATAAAATTTTTAATAAAAAGGACTGGGGGTGTACCTCAGCACTAGGATATTTGCTTTGCATGCATAAGTCCTCCAGTTCAATCTTCAGCAAGAAACATACACAAAAGAAAGAAGAAAATAATACCACATGTCCAGCAATAACCACCATGAATTTTTTAGAGTATATGTTTGTAATCTTTTATCCAAAAATATGTCTATATCCTTTAAAAATCTATTCCAGGAATTCCATTGCATTATTACATTGTAGGAAGATAAACAATTCTCTTCTGTTAAATATTTATGTTGTTCCCAGAGTTTCATTGTTCTGAAGGATACTATGAGGAATGTCTTTGAGATGAAAACCCTTCATACATCAATTTTTGAATTGCTGCAAATAGACTTGTTCTTTCAATGATGTATGTTTTTAAAGTTTCTGATACATTGTCAAATCATTGTCCAGAGATGTACTAATTTACATGCCACCAAGTATCACCCTTACTATAGTTAATACTGCTATCTTTTAAAATTATTTATCAAAAGAACAAAAAAATGAACACACCCACAAAAATAAAATGTTTGCCAGATAGATGAAAGATTTTATTTGAATTCTAATTTCTTTAACTGTGACATTAAATAACTTTTCAAATGTTGACCATTCTGTTTCTTTGGTGAATTGATTTGTGCCTTGCAGATTTATATACTATGGGCTTTTTGTCCTGTGGGTTGCAAAAAATTTTCCCTGCTTTGTTGTTTACTCTAATTTTAATTGTAACCCCGCCCTCCCCCACCCACATCTGCCCCATCAGCTGCAGAAGTAGGAATAGAACCCAGACCTTTGTGAGTGCTAGGCAAGCACTTGACCACTGAGCCACACCCCAGCCCCAGCCTCGTAATTCTTTTTTTTTTTTTTTTTTTTTTTTTTTTTGGTGTTTTTTAGCCTCGTAATTCTTTTGGTCTAATGGTTTTCCATCTTGTGTGATTAATCTAGCAGACTTTTTAAAAGTTTTTTTATCTTTGTGTCAGATTTAAACACAAATCTTCCAATCCCAAGTTAAATGAATAATGATCACCTGTGTTTATATTTTATTGGTTTCATTCTTTAAACTTAATTTCTTATCAGGAATGTATCAATTCAGATATGTAACCATTTCTTTCTTGTTTTTTTTTTGTAGTGAGAGGTGTACAGGAAATTGAACTTGGGTCCTCACGCTTGCCAGGCAGGTGCTGTGCCACTGAGCTAATCCCTGGCCCTCCTTTGGTTTTTGTTTTGTTTTGTTTTGTTTTTTGAGGAAGAGTTTCACTGTCTAGTTCAAGATGGCCTTAAGCTCCCAGCAGTCTTCTTGCCTCAGCCTCTAAAGTGCTGGGATTACAAGTATGTGCCAGTATGCCCAGCTTTAGTGCCATTTTTTTTAATAATATGCCCTTTCATATTGATTTGAAACCCTTTTTCATGATTTCCTAATGACATGGTTGGGGGCAGCGGTTGCTGAGGATCAAACCTAAGCTTGTACGTGCTGTGTGTGCACCACACCAGTGGGCTGCACCTATAAACTGAATTCTTACCTGTACACAAGCCTGGTTAAGTGTTTTTTTTTGTTTTTTTTGTTTTTTTTTTGTCTTTTTCGTTTTTATCGGTACCAGGGATTGAACTCACGACTGCCTGCTTGCAAGGCAGGTGATTATGCCGCTGAGCTAAATCCCCAGCCCCTGGTTAATTGTTTTTATTCCACCCCACTGAACTGATTTTTTTTTTTTTCTGGTACCAGGGATCGAACTCATGACCTCATGCTTGCTGCACAGATGCTTATGCCATTGAGCCAAATCCCGGCCTAAACTGACCTGTCTTTTCCTGCTATTTTACTCTCCTGTAGATCCTGTATTAAAAGTTACTCTGGCAGTGTCTGATCTTCAGAAATCCGTGAACTACTGGTCTAATCTCCTGGGAATGAACATTTATGAACAGGATGAAGAAAAGCAGAGAGCTTTGCTGGGCTATGCTGAGAACCAGGTGAGTGATCTTGGAGCGTTTCTAAGTGTTTCACGTGAAGCTTGTTCTCATAGTTTCTTCACAATGATTCAGTATACATACACGTAAGCAGAAGAAAATACAAATTACTGATTACCTCACTAGGAAGTACCTTCTTTGTATTTGGGATCCTTTTAGAAGTAGAGTGAGTGGGGACGTGACTCAGTGGTAAAGGGCTTGCCTAGCACATTTGAGGCCCTGGGTTTATTCCCAACGCCTTAAAAACAAAAGAGTGAATGGTAGAATTGCTTAGTCAGAAGAGATAAAGACAGTGGTCAGAACCTAGTGTTGACCCTGGATTTAAGTCTTTGTATTCTGACCCAGCAATTCTGTTCCTTAGAATTATTTTATGGATGTCTACCTCACACATGCACAAAAAGAAGTGTACACAAAGTCATCTATGGTAGCACTGTTTGCAGTAGTAAAAGGTAAGAACCTCTGTGTCCTGTGGAGAAGAGTGATATTTTAATGACTCATTTACTAGAAGGGATTATTGTACAGCTACCAAAAAGCCCAGTATAAGTCTGTAAGTGCTGGTATGGTATTGTGCTATTATATGTGTGAAAAAGAAACAGAGCTAGGTGCAGTGGTACATGTCTGTAATCCCAACTACTCAGGAGGCTGAGGCAGGAGGATCCCAAGTTCAAGACCAGTCTGCACAAATTAATGAAACTGTCTCAGAATTTTAAAAGGTGGGGAAAGGAGCTCAGCTAACTGTGGGTTCAACTCTCAGTAACAGAAAAATACATAAAAATTTAGCAGGGCTGGAGATGCAGTTCTGTGGTAGAATATTTGCCTAGCATATTTACCTAACTCATGCATAAAGTCCTGGGTTCCATTCCCAGTACCATTTTTAAAAAGCAAAGAAGAAAAAGGAAAGGCTAGAGGAAGAGAGGTAGGAAATGTATCTAGAAGGATACATGAGAAATTGCTGGCCTTGTATGACAGGAAGGAGACTTCATTTGTACTTTATTCTTTTAGTGCTATTTAATTTGTGAACTATGTGCATGTGTAACATGCCTGAAAGCATAAACCCACCTCTTTATTTCTTTTCAGTGTAAGCTGGAGCTCCAGGGCATCAAGGGCTCGGTTGATCATGCAGCAGCTTTTGGAAGAATTGCCTTTTCTTGTCCCCAGAGAGAGGTAAGGTTTGATTACCTGATCTTTTGCTTAAGCTCTTTGACAAACTAGTTCAACCCAGTCAACCTTGCCCTTCCTTTCCTACGTTCATTCTGATTGTGGCTTTAGTATCAAGTCAACAGTTGTTTGGAGAACTACTGAGATAACGAAATCAAACACGGGGTACCTTGGTTGTTCCTGTCAGATACTCCCCCACATTAATGAGGGTCGGGTCATAAAAGCAGTGCTTGACCCTTGCTCACTGGCCTTTTTGTTTTCCTCAAGTTGCCAGACTTAGAAGACTTGATGAGAAGGGAGAATCAGAAGATCTTGACTCCCCTGGTGAGTCTTGATACCCCCGGGAAGGCAACGGTGCAGGTCGTCATCCTGGCTGATCCTGTGAGTATCACGGCGGGGAGGTAAACAGGCTTTTCCAGCGTCTCCTCACAGATACTTTTTGCCAAATTGTTTTTTCTTTGCTGGTATAGGATGGACATGAAATTTGCTTTGTTGGGGATGAAGCGTTTCGAGAACTTTCTAGGATGGATCCGGAAGGAAACAAATTGCTGGACGATGTGAGTCTTTATTTTTTATATGCCCCTGCCTCAGGAGGATGGTGTACATGTGGGGAAAGGGCCAGAGCAGCAGGGCTCTTCCTGTCAGAACCACGCCCTGTGCCATTGGGATGACTTTTTAACTGGGACCTGTGTCTCCATGGCCACCTGTATGACTTTCCCGTGGACTCAGCGTCCCCACCTTCTCACAGCCTCCAGCTGTCTTAGGGAACCACTGCAGCTATAAACAAGCATCATTCTGCTCAGTGAATGGAAATACCATGCCTCTCCCTGGTTCAGCCCCCAGGTGTCTCCCCTCCTCCACAGCGTTAGTCTCTTCCTTCTCATCACGCACAGACGCGCTCCAATACCTCCAATAACTCATGACCTCACACTTGCAAGGCAGGCACTTACTCCACTGAGCTAAATCCTCAGCCCCCATAACTCCGATTTTTAAATACCTTTTATTGACCCTTTCCCTTTTGTGCATTTTTTTAAACAATTAGTCCATGTCTGCAGTATGTAACAGTTACATTGCTTATGAGAGGTCGGTACATAAACATAACACATCTTAATTCTTCGATCATCCCTTCCCCTTAGTCTCCTTCCCATTTGAGAAAATTCTATCTCCCTACTTTCTGTTATCTTTTATTTTGTTGTTTGTTTATAATCTGAGTTTTTCATATAAGAGAAATGATAGTTAAGTATGTGTCTGATTTCTCAACATTATGGTTTCAAGATACATCTATAAATGACTCGTTTATCTTGCTTTATAGCAGAGTACTACTCCATTGTATGTAAATATCACATTTTCTTTATCTATTCATCTGCTGATCTAAGATTCTAAGGTTTAGCTGTTACAAACTGCTGTTTTAAACATGGACGTGCCTGTATCACTGTAAAACAATGACTTTAACTCTTTCCGGAAGATGTCAAGAAGGGAAATATCTGGGTCAAATGGAATTTCTATCTAGTTTCAGATTTGTGAGGAATCGTACGGATTTCAACAGTAGTTGTGGCCAGGGATTTAGCTCAGTGGCTTAAGCACCTGCCTGTTAAGTATGAGGTTGTGAATTCGATCCCTGGTACCAAAAAAAAAAAAAAAAATCTAAAAGAAATAGTTGTACTAGATTGCATTCCCACCAACAGTATAGAAGGATTCCTTTTACCCCTGCAGCTTCTCCAGCTTTTGCAGTTATTTGATTCTTGACAGATTTATAATTTAGAAATCCGTCTCTTACTTAGGTTTCATTCTATTCTGCACTGGCTCTTGTGTCCCAGTGAAGTACTTGCATTTACATCATTGGTGACATCCATGTCCCCTATTCCAGCAGCTGCTTTCCTATTTTAGTCACATTTGATTTTCCAGCAGTTTTCAAAGCATTGAATATGTGCTATAATCCCAGCACTTGGGAGGCTGAGGCAAGAGCATTGCCGAGAGTTTGAGGCGAGCCTGGGCTACATAATTCAACATCAGCTTTGGACTACATAGCGAGGCCTTATCTCAAAAAACTCAAGAAAAAGTACAAAATGAGCTCAGTAGAACCAGTATTAGAATAGGTAGGATGAGGTATAAAAAGGGAATTGTTTTACTCCTGAGAGCTAAAAGATCAAATCATTTCTTATATTTGGTCTCATGAGCCCCATGAGCACTGACGAGTTTTATTTTCCCAAAAGACTTTAGAGCCTAGCCCGCGTGGTCATGCCTTCATTTCAGCCAGCTGTGCTTCCCAGCCGCAGGCTTGGCCCTTTACTTGGCAGTGAGAATCCACCAGCATCTTATTCAACAAATGCCCCAGATGAGCACTCTGTAAATGTTAGTTTCTCCTTTGTGGACAGTGCAGTGAAGTGCAAAATGAGCCATGGCTTCCATTTTCAGACTTGGGATGAATGAGATGAATGTATATTTGACTTTGTTTCTACAGGCAATGGCAGCAGATAAAAGCGACGAGTGGTTTGCTACCAGAAATAAACTGAAGGCTTCAGGGTAATGGAAGGCATCACGTGGAGCAAGCATTTGTCATTCCCACCCGCCCCTGGGACCCTAATGCATCTGCTGGTGATAAATGCTCTTACTACTCAGTTGTGTCCTATGCAGGCAAGGAGGCCTGGCTGATGAAGATTTGTGTATTTCAGTCTTTGAAAGCGCTAGTATGTTTTAGAAATGAAATCTGAGTATCATTGCTCCAAGTAAAGGAGAATTACTGCTATAATCTGCACTGTCACTGGAATGGCACATTCCAGGTAACTGTATTAAATTAGTAACAAATTACTTTCTGGGCTAGGACAGCTCTGTGTGTGCTGTCCTTGGTTAGGAATGGAAGAAGTTTTGATAAGCTGTGACTCATTAGAATGGATCAATTTGAGGGCCAGGGATTTAGCTCAGTGGCGTGAGAGCCTGCCTGGCAAAGTGCGAGGTCATGAGTTCAATCCACGTACAGATAGATTTTACTGCAGCAAATGTTCAAATAAATCCAAATCGATTGTTCATGATGGTTATGCTGCAAGCATGTCATGATAATAAACTGTTGTAATATCTTGCTGTGGAAAGTGGTCTTGACATTTAACATTTTTAAAAATTTTGCTCTTTTTAAAACATTGTGTTCCTTGGACAAAAAAGCTTAGTTAAACCTCCGTTTTACATGCTTTTACATTTTGAGTAGCCAGAGAACAGACAAGGATTTATTGTGTTTTGATATCCTTGGCTCTGGATTAACTTCTTTATAATTTTTTAACTTCTTTATAATTTTTAAATTCTCTCAAGAAAGGATCTTAAAATAGGTTAAATTATTTCTTCAGCGTGAAAAAAATTTCTCTTTGGTTCTAGACAAGTTGGTTTTAATCACTGTAAATAATTACATATTCATGGATATATTCATTATTAATTTTTTTAAAAAAATACTTATGTACAAGGTACAGATTCCCTATGATGAATATGATCGTTATGTATATCAAACATATCAATAAAATTAATTTTTAAAAATGCTTCTGAACTCTGGAGGCTGAGGCAGAAGGATTACCACAAGCTCAAGGCCAGCCTGAGCTACATAGTAGGACCCTGTCCCAAAAGACTATAAAAGAGGACAGGAGTTTAGCTTAGTGGCACAGTGCCTTCCTGGCAAGCACGAGGTCCTAAGTTTGATCTCCAGTACTCCCCCCACAAAGCTGCTGAAATTAGGCTGTTATATCAGTGTTTATGTCTCATTTAAAGTGGTAGCCAGATTCACTTTAGACAGACTGGAAAGAATTGATTCCAAGGGTGACAGTTCAGAATTATAAAAAGTTTCTGTTCTGGGGCTAGGGATTTAGCTCAGCGGCATAAGCGCCTGCCTTGCAAGCAGGCAGTCGTGAGTTTGATCCCCGGTACCGATAAAAAAGAAAAAGACAAAAAAAAAAAAAAAAAAAAAGTTTCTGTTCTAACCTCTGTTGTTCTTGGTGGCAGTTTTCAGGTGAGCTTCTACTTCCCTTCTTACAAGGGTGCTCTTATTTTACAAGAAGGAAAAATCCTTATCTAGCTCCACAATACGTTGTTTTCAGCTTAAATTCACTGTGTTAGGGGAAAATCATGAATTTCACAGCAAACAAGTTGTGCATTCCTCCTTTCAGTAATTGTTTCATTTTTGTCCTATATAAACTGCTGTCTGTGATTTGTTAATGTTCAAATTTTCTGACATTAAGCAATTCTTAAGTGTTTACCTCTACCAATGCTATATTGTTCTCATGAAAAAAAAAGTACAGTACTATCCCCAGTATGTTGGAATGCTATAAGGGAGCCCTCTCAGTTTGTCATTGTAAAAGTACTAAATGACTAAACCTATCAGCTCTCCATCTGCTTATCTTGAATTTTACCAGACTGGAGTGTTTCTCTAAAATGTCCAGCTGTGGATGACAGATGGCACCATGCACAGTGGAAATCAGTGCTGTTTATTCACCTGGGACATGCTGGCTTTAAGAGATCAACCCCCTTTATTTATTTCACTGTCATGATTTCCTGTGTTGTGATCTTTGATGTTTTATTTACCCTGAAGTCATTTAGTGTTTAAGTTTCGCCTTTTATCAAGGAATCCTGAAGTTTGCTCCTGCTAGTGATTTTAAACCAAAACCAGTAAGTTTAAACTAAAAGTTAGGATTACTTTCCTACCTTAATGGGGATGGTATGATCAATGAGAAAAAGAGAGTACAGAAAATAAAAAGAGAAGTATAGTAATTACTATTATAAGGCCAGATGTGGTGGTGCATGCCTGCATTCCCCACACTCGAGGCTGAGGCAGGAGGATCCCCACAAGTTAGAGGCCAGCATGGGCTACATAGTGAGTTCAAGGCCAGACTGAACCACAAAGCAAGACCCTGTCCAAAAAAAAAAAAAAAAAAAATTACTATTAACCATTAAAGTGTGCTTATTAAGTGAGGAAGATATCTTCATATGTACTCCATCAGATGGATGAAGGCCTCACCAGAGGTCTCTCTGTGCATTTCGGGCTGACCTTGAGCTCACTGTGTAACCCAGCCTGGTCTCAAACTTACAACAGTCTTCCTGCCTCAGCCTCTGAGTGCTGGGATTACAGGCATGTACCACCACACCCAGCTATAAATTTGATTTTTTTATACAGAAAAAAAAGATTTTTTTGGTGGGGGTAGGAATGCTAGCAGCTGAACTGAGGTTCTCAGCATGCTAAGGCAAGTGTCCTACCAAAGAGCTACAGCCCCAATCCAGAAAGATACTTTTGTGCAAGCTGGTGTTTTAAACAATGAAGTTGAGAATCCTTCCCCTAGAACTGTAATTTTGTAGTGGCTGTTTTGTTTTTTAATGGAGGGGAAGGGTATAAAGTTCCTATGATACAGCTCTAAGTGTAAGTTCAAACATGTCTTGAGTTTGAATTCAGAGATTTAGAGTGGCCATGCCGCATAGGTTTTCCCAAGTTACCTTGGAGAATTAGCCATATGAATTCTGTGCATTTACTTTATTCTACTGTGGTGTAATTAGCAAAACTGTGGACATTTATGTGACGTTCTGCCCATCTCACTTGTCACTCAGAGCCACTCTGCTTTCACAGTTTTTAGGATTGTCTTAGTTACTTTTCACTTGTTGCTGAGACAAAATACCCAACACCCAAAATGAAGGAAGGAAAGGTTTATTTAGCTTACAATTTTTGGAGATTTCAGTCCCTACTTAGCTGGTACTAAGCCCAGTGATATGACTGAAGGGCAGCTGTTTATGGTGAGCACAAGCAACAAGAACCAAAAAGGCAGAAGGGCAAAGCACGCCTCCCTCCCTCTGTTCTATGTTGGCTGCCCAGCCCTGGGCAGGTGCAGCACTCACACTGCCAATTCCAGTGCTAGATAGTAAACCAATCACAACCGCTAGATTCAGCCTCCTCCATGACTGCGTGAGGCTTTGGGGGGGCATCCAAACACAAACCATAGCAAGGACACTTGTAACTTGTCCACTGAAATTCATGGAACAGTGGAGAAGTTTTGATTGTATGACCTAACAATACCTTTGGTTTTGGTACTGGGGATTGAACTCATGATCTTGTGCTTGCCAGGCAGACACACCACTGGGCTAAATCCCTGGCCCAACACTACTCTTAACCCTGTGAAAAATGGGCTTTGGAGTTAGCTCAATGGTCAAGCACTTACCTGGTAAATGCAAGGTCATGAGTTCAATCCCTACAATCCCCAGCGCCCAAAAACCTATGAAAAATCAATAGGAAATTTGTCCTGGTCTCATTCAATGATCAGTATGTGCCCTCCTCCTGCCCCCAGTATCAGGGAGTAAATCAGAGCCTTTACACTCAGATACATCCCTGTGCCTGTGTGTGTGTTTAATTTTATTGGTACATTTTAGACATGCATCGTGATAACATGCATCGTAGGAAATTTATACCTGGACATAGTACATCTTGTTTTTCCCATTCCCCTCCCCTCGATTCAACCCCTCTCTTATTTACGAAAGGTTTGTTTTCATTTTTTCCTTCCATTTATTTTCTTATCCCTTCTTTCTCCCTCTCCCCTTTTTTGTTTCCCCTTCTCATTTGAACATTTTCTTCTCATTTCCCAATATCTCTTACACATTTTGATCCTTATTTATACTTTGTTTCTCGCATCAGAGAAACAATGAGGTATTTCAACATTCATGTCCGATTTATTTTACTTAAGAGTATGGTACCAAAATGTATCCATTTATCTAGAAATGCCTAAGCTTATCCTCATTTATGGCAGAGTAGTACTTATAAAAATACCGCATTTTGCCAAGTGTGATGGCTCACGCCTGTAATCCCAGTACTTGGGAAGCTGAGGTGGGAGGATCTTTGTGAGTTGGAGACCAGCCTGGCTACAACAAAGTGAGCTCAAGGCCAGCCTGAACTGCATAGCGAAACCCCATCTCAAAAAAGACCAAAAAAAAAAAAAAATTGCATCTTTATGCATTCATTGATTCCGCATGCCTTTTTATTTTTTATTTTGAGATGGGGTCTTCCTCTTTCTCAGGAAGGCCTCACATTTGTAATCCTCCTGCTTCAGCCTCATGAGTAGTTGGATCGCAGAGGTGTGCCATCATGCTCAGCTATCCCTAGCTCTCCTACAATTACTTTCTGCAGTTCTAGTTATAATACCTTTCTATTTTATCAGGGTCTACAGTGACTTGCAAAATGATATAGCATACTTAGAGTCCTCAAAATACTGTCACAATTTGAAGCAAAGTCCATTATTTTTCTGTTAGCATTTAACATGAATCATGGCCCTCAAAACATCTTCACAATATCCCTCTGCCCAAAAATAGTGCACTGTTTTACATTGTAGTTCTTACCCAGTGTATACTTAGGATAGTTGTTTAGTCACTGTAGTATCCTAGATATACTTTGTAGTACTGGAGATTGAACCCAGGGCCTTTACACTGAGCTACACCCCCTGCCCTTTATTTTGAGACAGGGTCTCATAATGCTAGGTTGCCCAGCTGGGCTCAAACTTGCTGCCCTCCTGTCTCAGCTGCAGTGCCTAGATTATAGATACACTGTACCACATTTGGCTAGAAAACCTTTTTTTTTTTTTTAGGTGTTTAGAGACAAGAGTATTGATGTCTGGTCCAGACTGGCCTCAAACTCACAGCAGTCCTCCTGTTTCAGCCTCCCAGCTGCTGGGATTACAGATATGCCCCACCATACCTGGCTAGAAAATAAATTTTTTTTTTAGAAAATTACTTTTAACTGAGGAAAAATTCCAGGAAATGCCATGCCCCAGGGACCTGTTCCTCTAAAACTTCTCTTTAAGACTTAGCACTATCCCAGCCACTAGGCAAAGTGGTTACGCATTGATGCCTCCCTGATGAGCCAAGCTTGGGTACTTTAGCCCTTCATAGATGATTCTCTGTGCTCTTATAACAAATACTTGTATATAGCATTTTGTCTTATACAGATCCACATAGAGATACTAGGACCAGCTATTTGGTAGTCCTGAGAAAATTTTGATTGCTAAGCTTCATATGAGTCAGTGCCTGGAATTTTGAAACTATTGCTCCATTGTTACTCAGCTACTCTGTTTAGTTGTATCATTTACTTCATTACTGTGTTGCTAAGTGGTTGGCTTCTCAAGAGTAACTTCATTGATCTGTGTTCCCCTAGGACTTCTGGGCTTGACTTTAGCATTTCTGGCAGAGTCCTGTCCCCTCTAGTGCTGGGTTGGTGAGTCAGCAGCCCTTGACGACATAGAGGCGTGACCTCAAGCTCCTTAGAGGTGGCAGTCATTCGAGAATGACCTCCAACCTTGGGCTTTTCTTTCTTTTAAAGACTGGGTCACTATGTAGTTCAGGCTGGCCTTGACTCTGTAGAGCCTGGGCTGGCCTGGAATTTGTAATCTCCTGCCTCAGGATCCTTAGTGCTGGGATTACAGGGGTATACCTCTATGCCTGGCTAACCTTGGGTATTTTCATAGCATTGATTCTCCCATCATCCCCTCTTCTGCCAAATCTCTTACCTATGCTATGAAATAGGAAAGTAGTGAGCACATTCACAACCACCCAGAAAGCCAGCTTGATGGCATTGTACCCAGTGGAAAGATTGGTTTTTTTATTTAGACACTTACCCCGGACTCTGAAGTCACTGAGTTTCTCTTTCCCAGCAATATACAGTCATTCGTAGGCAGCTTAAGTGCTTTATTTATTGATGTCTTAGCTAACCTTGCTACCCTTTCAGGACAGTTCAGCTATCCAGATCTTTTAAGAAGCCCATTGCCTACCGAGAAGCCACGCTACTACTACCTGCTAAAGTGGCCCTAACTGGCCTCCTTTTTCTTCAGCTCCTCCACTTTGACGATGTAGACCTTCATGGCATCCATCTTGGACATCCCTTTGTGCACATTCCACGCCTCCCACTTGGCCTTGGCTTTCATGTCTGAGTCAGGAGGGGCAGGGATGTTGCAGTCACCCTGAGTAGCTTGCTTGTAGTAACTGTACACCAGAAGTTTCTCCTCGTCACTCACAGGACCCTTCAGCTCCTTAATGGCAGTGCAAGCCAGCTCAAACTCCTCTTGGCACATTGTGGTACTTGAGGCTGTGTTCCTCTGTTCTTTCCAGGTGACACCTGACACACAAAGTGGAGAAGGGAATAGTACACACCTGAGCAGGGCTGCTGGATTGGCTCCACCTCACAGTACATTTTGTTTTGTTTTTTTGAGACAGTCTGGATATGTAGAAGACTAGGCTGACCTTGAACTCACTAGCCCAGGTTGGCTTCAACCTCGTGGGGCTTTTCCTGCCTCAGTCTCCCAAGTGTTAAAATTACAGGTGTGTGCCACCACACTGGGTTTCTGTTTTCTTTGAAACAGTGTCAAAAGCGTCCATCATCTTGGAAAATTAAGGATCATTGTCGCTGTAAGGAGGAGGCAGTGTGGTATGAAGAAGGTTTAAGGTAATTGTGCCTGTGGGCTTGGGCCGGCAGGGTGAGACCCGGTCTGCGGGCGAAGTGCCACTTGCGTGCTGCAGAATAAGCAGCCTGAGGGAACGGCTTTCGAGCTAGGGAACTGGAGCTATCCGGGGTTCCTGTGACGGGAACGCGGGCACAGCGACTGCACTAAGGACCGCCTGGACTCCCGAAACTCAGGAAGGGGCGGAGCAGAGCGTTACCTGCTGGTATGGCCGAGAGAGGGCGCCGCGGGCTCGAGGGTGAGGAGCGCGCGTGCGCACGGACCAGCTGGCGACCTAGCGGCGGGGCGGGGGCTGTGAGGGAAGGGGACCGAGGCTGTGGGCGGGGCCTGTGGCTCCGCCCTCCGCGCCTCCCATTGTGCCGTGGCGCCTGCGTCGCGCTGGCAGCCTCCGAGGAAAGGGGCGGCCCGCGCCGCCGCCAACGTCGCCGCCATGGACCTAGGTGGGTGCCCGGTTCCCCTACCCCGACCCTCCCTGGCGAGGCGGCCCGACGTGCCACACCCGCGTGGGCCCCGGCCAAAGAAAACTTCCGGGCCGGGTGTCCTTGGAGACCCGGAGTGGAGGCCGGCTCTGGCCCTGGCCGCGTTGTCCCTTGGCCAGCGTTTTCCCTCGCCAGCCCCCGTTCTCCTTTTCACGGTAAAAACCTCAGCGAACGGGTGCGAAGTTGGATCCCCGGAAAATAGACGTGCATTGTGCACGTGCTTCGGGCGATGCTGGGCTGGATTGCGCCTGGGGACATCAGAGAGGGCCTTACGGTCTCATTTATTGAACATTAGTTAAGTTGTTGAGCAAGTTTACTATCCCTCCCGGGACTCATCGATAAAGCGAGGATGGTGACCCTGTCTTCCAGAGTTCTGGGGGAGTTTCTTTGTGACCACGTGCGCGCAGTGTTGGGTATAGTGCTGTGGAGCACAGCGGCGTGTGTCAAGATCAAGATCGCAGTTCTGGGGAGGGGTTACGGGGTTACGGCAAATGAAGTGGCGCTTGCTGATGAACCTGCGTGCAGCTTGATTTCGAGGAGATCTGGACAGAGGGAGGGCGGGAACTGACAGAAATCGATTGCTCCTTGCCAAGCTTCCACACCCTCCTGAGTGTGCTTTAAAGAAAGGAAGAGCAGGAGGCTGTCCTGAAAGAGCCAGGGGTGTGATACCCGAAGGCGTGCCAGTAGTAATAGACTGAAGGCTGTGGCTGTCCCCAACAAACTCAGCAGTAGTACATTGGCAAAGATGGAAGAGTTTGGAAGTCCTGCAGCTGTCTCGGCCACACCACTTTGTGGTTGTGACATCCTGAGCAAATTGTACTTGAGCCTCAATTTTCTCATCTTTAAAACAGAAATAATAATAATCTTTAAAGAGTTGTTTTGAAGATTGAAAGGTTTTATATGTTGTATGACATTTTACAGTGCAGTTCCTTTTTAGAGTTAAGCAAGCACTTAACAAACAAGAAGTAGGCACCTACCTGCACCAGTTAACCATCAGAGATAAACTGCTAACAGCTTCTGAGGCTTTTTCAAGTAGCAAGTGTATGTACAGTACTTACTGTCTGGAAGGCAGCTGTTGGGGACCAAACATCTGCTGAGCTGAATGCAATAAAATTGGATTTACAGTCATAAGCAAATGTACTTTGGGGCTGTGGAAAAGCAGCCTGATCCTAAAGAAGGGCCCCAACTCCCAGAAAGACACCATTTCCCCCGCCCCCAGTAACCTATACCTTAGGAATCTGATCTGTTCATCAGAAGCCAAGATGGATTGCTTTCACAAAGATTGCATAGCAGCGCTGATTCTTGACCTTTTATACACTCATAAAAGTTGAAGGGGGGGGGGCGTTGGTACTCTTTAGGCTGCTAGGATCAGTATTTTCTGGGCTGGCTCCTGGCCTGTGAAAGTAGGGTACATGTGATCTTAAGGGACTAAACAAGAGCTGGTATGTCCGGTGGCCAGGAAAAGAGAGGAGTAAGAATACTCACTTGAATAGTGAGCAGTGGTTGTGTTTTGATTTTAGTTTCTAGGCCAAAAAAATATATATGTGGTAAAGAGTTGGGACCCAAGATGGACATGGTAGCACACACTTGGGATCCCATTTACCTAGGAGACTGAGACAAGAGGATTGCAAGTTAAAAGGCCAGGCTAGGGAACTTAGACCTGTCTCAAAAATAAATATATAAAATTTTAAAAAGGACTGGGGATGTAGGTCAGTGCTTCCTGGGTTCAATCCCTAGTTCAGTTGCTACCTAGTTCAGGGTGGCCTTGAACTCACTGTGTAGCCCAGGCTGACCTCAGACTCATGGTCTCCAAAATGCTTGAAATACAGGCATGCACTACCATCTCCTGCTCATGATTCTTATTTTTTTTTTTTTTTTGGTCTGGGGACAGTTCTGAAAATTGAACCCAGGACCTTGCATATGTTAGGCAAATTATTTAGCACTGTGTTTCAGGTTTCTGAGAATAGTGACAAAATTCAGGTCCTGATAACAATGGAAATGTTTGGGGAACCAACATATATTAAACTTAATCAGACTGATGGCTTTAAGGTTTTTGTATTCATATTCATTAATTACCTTTTTTTTTTTTTTTTTTTGAGACACGGTCTATGTAGCCCAGGTTGGCCTGGAACTCGGCAGTCCTCCTGACTCAGCCTCCCAAGTGCTGGGATTACAATCTTGCGCTGCCATGCCTATCTTATTTTTTTGCTGAGGATCAAACCCTGGGCGTCATCTATAGTATGCAAGCACTGGACCACTAAACGAAATTCCGAGGGGGGGATAAACACTACATCCCAAGATCTAAACCCTAACCTCACCCATCCTTGGCAAAAGGGATTGAGATAACAGCAGCAACCCTGTGCCAAGGATTCAGCTGGTATCTACCATTTGACCCTCATGGTTAAACCATGAAGTCTGTTATATACATGTATGCGGAAAGGAGGCTTGGAGAAGTAATCTACCACGTCACTTTGGTTTGGGATGCCTGAACTAGGATTTAAACCATTTCTGGTAAAACTTCCAGGATGCCTTTCTTAAGTCTGTCAGTTCATAGGCTCACTGAAGAAATGACTTCACTTTGTAATTTAGTACAGTATTTTTGTAGCTGCCTCTGAGTTTCTACTACATAAGCAGGGCCATTAGTAGCCTGTCCTCTTGGAGCAAAAGGTGCTGTGGGGTGATCTGTTTCCTTGAGAGAAGAATGATTGAAACCTTTTGGCAAGGTTATGAGAAAAAAGGGAAGGGAAGGCTTGTCTGATTGTTTCTGTGTCTGTGGCTCTGGGGCTGTGCCCTCAGACTGTGCCAATCACTGAGATCAGTTGTCATCCAGGAATGTGCTTGGTGCCGCCTCTGGTTTGGTACTGCCCTTGTGCTCTTTCTAAACCTTTCTCCCCGTCGGAGGCCTGACTTTCCATCTGAACTCCAACCCCGCACTGTCCGCATATTCTGCCTCAGATTCCCAAGGAACCAAAACTGATGTTTTTCTTCCCTCCAAACCTGTTCTGACTCTGCTACCTGTTTTTTGTGAATGTGTAGTTGTGTGTGTGCTACTGAGGATTGAGCCCAGGACTTTGCACTTGCGAGACAAGTACTCTACCACCGAGATGTAATTTTGTAAAATTTTATTTTGGAAGCCGAGTGTGGTGGCACACACCTGTAATCCAGCACTCAGGAAGCTGAAATAGGAGATCATTGCAAGTTCGAATCAGCCTGGGCTGCAGAGTGAGCTCAAGGCCAGCCTGAACTGCATAACGAGATCCCATCTCAAAAAGACAAAAAAAATTTTTTTTTTACTTTGAGACAGTGCATCACTAAATTGCTCAGACTGGCTTCAAACTTAGCATTTTTCTGCCTTAGCTTCCTACTGAAGCCTCCCGAGTGTCAGAGATTGACAAGCATGTGTCACCACACCTGGCTCTTTCTGCCTTACTGGAGATCCAACCCATAGCCTTGTACATGCTAGGAAGTGCTCGACCACTGCCTGTACCCAGGTGTGTTCCGCTTTTGTTGGTAACCCTTGTCCTCCCAGTTCCCCAGCTGGAAAGTTTGAACGTTGTTTGCTGTTCCTCAGCAAAGTCCTAGTAACTGCAGCTCTCAGTGGCTCTTACAGCCAGCTCTCCCCCTCTTCTCCCAGATGTCAGTTAAAGCCTTTATCTTTTCTAACTTTGATAATGACTGACAACCTAATCTGCTCCTGGTTTTGAACCCTTTTCACTACATTCTTTATTTGGCTTTTTTGTGTACAGGACCCTTCAATATCTGTGAAGAAATGACTATTCTACATGGGGGCTTCTTGCTGGCTGAGCAGCTGTACCGCCCCAAAGCACTGGCAGAATTGACCAAGTCAGACTGGGAACACGTTGGGCAGCCCATTGTGGAGGCCTTAAGGGAGATCTGCTCGGCCACGGTGCATTCCCAGCCGCTTGCCTGGAAGAAGAAAGCTCTGATCATCATCTGGGCCAAGGTTCTTCAGCCCTACCCTCCAACTTCTCCTGACACTGAAACTCGGTGGCAGGAAGATGTGTTCTTCTCTGTGGGCAATATGATTCCTACTATCAACCACACAGTCCTTTTTGAGCTGCTCAAGTCCCTGGAAGCTTCAGGACTCTTCATCCAGCTCCTCATGGCCCTGCCTACTACCATCTGCCGCGCAGAACTAGAGCGATTTTTGGAGCACATGACTATTGACACTTCTTCCAAGGATGTGGCCTTCTTCCTTGATGTCTGGTGGGAAATGATGAAACACAAGGGCAATCAGCAGGACCCTCTGCTGTCTCACTTCAGAACCATGGCTCATAAGTACTTGTCATCTACAGATGAGTTCTCTCATCCTCCAAAGAGGTTTAAGTCAGACCCGGATGTGTGTCCAACATTGCCTCTGTTGGCCATGTTGCTGAAAGGACTGAAGCAAATCCAGAAGAGAATCCTGGGCCTTGGGATGAAGTGCTGTGCATTGGCCAATCTGGCTGACATGTTGACTGTGTTTGCACTGGTAGAGGAAGATCCCCAGGAAGTGTCTGCGACTGTGTACCTAGACAAACTGGCCACAGTGATCTCTGTGTGGAACTCAGACGCTCAGAATCCATACCACCAACAGGCTCTGGTGGAGAAAGTAAAGGAGGCGGAACGAGATATCAGCCTGACCTCACTGGCCAAACTCCCCAGTGAGACCATTTTCCTTGGGTTTGAGTTCATGCACAGCCTGCTGCGGGAGTGGGGCGAGGAGCTGCAGGTCCTGCTCAACAGCAGCCAGGGGATAAATTATGATAGCTACCGGCTGTGTGACAGTCTGACCTCCTTCAGCCAGAACTTGAAACTGTACATGGACACCACCAGTTTGACCAAGGAGGAGAGGCAGGTGGTCTCTGATTTGGCAGAGTGTGTCAGGGACTTCCTGAGAAAAACCAGTAGGGTGCTGAACAATAAGGGCTTTGAGGACATCACTGCCTCCATTGCCATGGCCATCATTGAGCAGAAGATGGATCGACACATGGACATGTGCTACATTTTTGCTTCCGAGAAGAAGTGGGCCTTCACGGATGAGTGGGTGTCCTGCCTGGTTAATAACAGGGCTCTATTCCGGGAGCCAGACTTGGTTCTAAGGCTGCTGGAGACAGTGATGGAAGTCACCATGACAGACAGGGCCATCCCTCAATCACAGATCAAACAAGTCATCTGCTTGATCCTGGAGTGCTATGCAGACCTCTCGCTGCCAGACAAAAATAAAGTGCTCTCAGGTGTCCTGCGCTGTTGGGGGCGAAAAGGCCTCTCCGACAGGCTGTTGCCTTACTTGGACAGTTTTCAGGAAGAGCTTAATACGATGTTCAACCAGCTTGCACAGAGTACTTCTGAGCAGGGCTTAGCTAAAGCAGTCGCTTCTGTGGCCCAAATGATAATACTGCACCCAGAAGTCACAGTGAAGAAGATGTGTAGCATGGCCGTGGTCAATCTTGGGACTCAGAAGTTCCTAGCTCAGATTCTCACTGCCTTCCCTGCCCTTAGGTTCACAGAAGAGCAAGGGCCAAATCCATCCACCACGTTCGTGGTGTCATGCCTTAAGGAAACCGTCTGGACAAAGTTCTCTACACCCAAGGAAGAAAAGCAGTTTTTGGAGCTCCTGAGTGGCCTAATGAATCCTGTGAAGCCCCAAGGGATTCCAGTTGCTGCTCTTCTCGAGCCAGATGAGGTGCTAAAGGAATTTGTCTTACCTTTCTTGGCCCTGGATGCCGCAGAGGTAGATATAAGTCTGAAGATCTTCATCCAGACGCTAGAAGTAAATGTGGGCCTAGAGGAATACTGGCTCCAGCCCTGTTCTCCATTCCCCCTTATCTTCAGCCTGTGCCAGCTCCTGGATAGCTTCAGCAAGTACTGGCAGCTCCCTCCGGAAAAGCGGTGCCTTTCTTTGGAGGGGAAGGATCTGGTGATCCACATCCTGGAGCTCCTCTGTGAGATTGTATTAGCAAACGTGGAGACCTTCTCCCCAGACACCTGGATCAAGTCCCTATCCTGGCTCCACCGGAAGTTGGAGCAGCTGGACTGGACTGTGGGCCTGAGGCTGAAGAACTTCTTTGAAGGCCACTTTAAGTGTGAGGTGCCAGCCACACTTTTTGAGATCTGCAAGCTTTCCGAGGCTGAGTGGACCTCTCAGTCCTATCCAGGGTATGGGCCTGGCACAGGGCTTCTTGCCTGGATGGAGTGCTGCTGTATCGCCAGTGGACTCTCTGAGCAGATGTTCTCCCTCCTGATGGTGGATGTGGGCAATCCTGAAGAGGTCAGATTGTTCAGCAAGGGCTTTCTGGTGGCCCTGGTGCAAGTCATGCCTTGGTGCAGCCCCCAGGAATGGCAGTGCCTTTACCAGTTGACCAGGAGATTATTAGAGAAACAGCTTCTGCATGTTCCTTATAGCCTAGAATATATTCAGTTTGTGCCCTTGCTCAACCTGAAGCCCTTTGCCCAGGAGCTCCAACTCTCTGTACTCTTCCTGAGAGCTTTCCAGTTTCTCTGTAGCCAGAGCTGTCGTAACTGGCTGCCTATGGAAGGGTGGAACCATGTAGTCAGACTCCTTTGTGGTAGTCTGACAAGTCTCCTGGACTCAGTTAGGCTAATCCAGCCAGTTGGTCCTTGGGCCCAAGGACAGGACCAGAACCTGACCCAGGAAACCCTGTTTGTTTATACCCAGGTGTTCTGTCACATTCTGCATATCATGGCCATGCTCCCTCAGGAGGTCTGTGAGCCACTCTATGTGCTGGCCTTGGAAGTCCTCACTTGCTATGAAACCCTGAGCAAGACCAACTCTTCTGTTAGTGCCTTGCTCCAGAAGGTAAACGAGCAACGCTTCTTAAAGTCCATTGCTGAGAACATTAGCCCCGAGGAGCGGCGACAAACCCTGCTGCAGAAGATCAGCAACTTCTGAGCTGCGTAGGTCAGAGAGAAGCTGGGCCCTACTGTAGCCTTTCTGTAGGGGCTGAAGCAGAGATGCACAGGCTTTCCAGTTATGTCAGATTGTACACAAGATAAAAGGCGTATGATATCAGTGTAAACAAAATAGTTTCTTAGGTATTTGTAACATACAAACTATAATAAAATTCACTTTTGTCAAGTCTTAGTAGTTTGGGATTAAATACAAATTGGGCTTAGATTATCAGTAAGATCAAACTGGGAGGAATATATCCATAACTGAACTTTATATCCTAGATTTTTGGCAAAGAAGCCCTTAAAGGGGAATTACCTGAGTAGAAAAATGTACAGAATATTTTTGAGGTTTTTTTTTTTTGCTACCAGTACAGGGTAGCCTTGAATTTGTGATCCTCCTGCCTCAACTTTCTAGTTCTGGGAGTAGTGTGCACCACTCTGCCTAGGGAGGGTGTTCTTTGAAACTGAGACCCTCAAGTCATTTTAACATGTAATGATTTTTTTTTTTATCGGTACCAGGAATCTAACTCACGACTGCCTGTTTGCAAGGCAGGTGCTTATGCCGCTGAGCTAAATCCCCAGCATGTAATGAAATTGCATGAGGTGTCTTGGAAGGGTCAGGAACTTCCTCTTTCCGGGAATGGCTGAGACTTGTGTGTCTGGGACACCTGGACCATTAGGCAGCAGCACCAGGAAACAAGTGCCCTCGAAGATGATGATAGGGATGTGTGCGCGCCATAGGGAGGGCTATGTTTTGGACAGGTGGCCTGTGCTGATTCCAGGGCTGGTGAACAACTGCAATGTGCCGAGGACAGGGATAATTACCTTCTGCCTCGGGATAGTTTGCCATGGATTGATGGAGGAGTGGGATCAGGGAAAGGTGTGTTCAGAACCACAAAAAAATAAGAACTTAAGGTTTCTAGGGTGTTACTACAAAACTGTAACAGCTGGTTGGAGATGGTATTTGGGGAGAGAAAAGATGCCCCATCTCCTGTATTTCCACACCTTCCTTCAAAATGGGGGACCACTCAAGTTCCCTCCTCTACCTCAGCAAACTTGCTGTGACCAATAATGACACTTCCATCCTCCCAGTTCCTCAGAGATTCATCTGTGAAGGCCTGAAGTTACACATGACCATTGGGCTTGATCCTGGGCACCTTCAGTGTATTTGTGGGTCCTTGAACCAACAAGTAAGGTAGGAGCAAGCCTTCCTGAAGGCTGAAACCATTAACATAACACCCTCTGCCAGTTGTATCTGCAGGAACTGCTGCACACGGTAGCCAGTCCAGCTAGCTCACAGGATGGTTATTAACAGGACAGCAGTACTGATACATTTAACAAGTGAGAATACATTGGGAAATTAGTGCAGTTTAATCACCACATGGATGACTGGTAATAGTGATAGTAAACAAAACAGTAAAACACAAAACCGTAGTGTTCTGTTTTTTAAATGGCACCTATTAAAGGCTGAAACAGTCACAATTTGAGACACTGTTACGTATTCAGTCCTTTAAAAGTTCATGAACAATGAATTAAAGGCACTTTAAAAAAAATTTAGTCCTACTACCACTTGAAAAAGTCCTGGTAGTAGTCTCAGACCCATCCCAGTTATAAGGAATGATTAGTGTTGGCACCAGAGGATCCCGTTTGCAGGTGGTGAAAGCGCTCGTCCACAGGATCCTGTTTGCAAATGGGAGTGAAGGTGCTGGTCCACAGGACATGATGGCTGCCCTCTCGCTCTCCAGCCTTCTGTGGTAAAATGGGAATGTACTCCACATAGGATTGGGCATCGGCTCATGAGGAGGCTCTAGAAAAAGGACTTTGGTCTAGATGAGAGGTCTTGTATTTGTAGTACAGAATTTCCATTTCTACTTGGACTTTGTCAGGGTAGTTACAAAGTAAATAGCTACCAAAATCATTTCTCTTTTCCCATTTTGAGTTTTGATTTGCTTTGGTTTTGAGACAGGGTCTCAGCATGTAGTTCAGGTTGGCTTCAAACTCATTGGGATTCTCCTGTCTCAGTCTCCCATCTGCTGGGATTACAGGTATGCATACCACAGGTGGCTTTGTTTTCTTCTTGTACTGGGGATTAAGCCCAGGAGCCTGCCCTGACCTAATTCTCAGCCTTTCTTTTTCCTCAAGATCTCACCAGGTTGACCAGGGTAGCTCAAACATGTGATCCTCCTGCCTCAGCCTTCCAGAGTGTTAAGATGACAGGCATGTGGCACCATGCCTGGCTTGCCCCTATATCTCCTATGCATGTGGACATGGAGAAAGCCAGACGTACGGAGTCATACCAAACTGGGAATAATTCTTGTGTGTGCTTGCAGCAAGCTCACAAGTTTGAATCTGGCCTTTTACTATTGTGCTGACTTTTACTCACCTCCCTACTTAAGTTGTTCACATTGCCAACCCTTTCTCCTACCTGAGACTTGAGACATGGAATGTCAGACAGGTAGACAAAGGAATTCAATGTTGACACGTGGACGACAGGATGAGGCAAAGAACTGCTAATGGACTATCTGGTAAACAATAAAAAGCTACATACCCACAATGATCTTCCCAGGCCAACAGTGCAAAACATTGTAAGAACCAAGTCATCATTTGCTTCTGCTGGCCCAGTATAGTGGGTACTGCCCTGAGTAGTTGCAAAGGTGGGTAACCACCAATACCGGGGAGCGCCCAGCCCCTCAGCACTGGTCCACCAACCTCATGTCCCATGCTTCAACCTCCCAGAGCTCTTGAGATACAAGACCCAGGAACTGATCTTTGGGCTTATATTAAAACAACTTTGTTGCTAGCAGAGAGCTGACAGCACCCAATAGCTGTTAACCATAAAAAGTGCTTTTGCAAAAGGGCAGGTTAGAAGAGGGAGGTAATAGTATTTTAAAAGAAAAACTCAGAGCCAACCGCTTATCAATACCTGAAAGGCTGAGGCCACCTAGGGCACAGTTTGGTCCATGGAATACTGTGTGGAAGAGGCAGCTAGTGTGAGGAGACACCCTCACTGCCCAACTTCTGGGGGTCATTAGCCATCCTTTTTGTCTTGGGGAGTGTTAAAAAGCCGGAGTGCCTTCTTGCACAGCAGAGAGAACCAGTAAATCTGGGGAGCGATGAGGAGGGCATTGGCCACATTGCAGAAGAAAGGGATACTGTATGGCACTTGGAGCAGGCTTAGTCCCTGATGTTGGCCATAAGACCAGTACATGAAGGGGAAAAGAAGGATCCGACAGAAAAAGAAGCTGGTCAGCGTGATGATTCCGTTCACCTTATACAGAAGAGTGTGCTGCTGCTTTCGCTGTCAAGGGGAAAGAGAAAATGAGGTCAGCGAGAGGATGTACCATCAGGGAAGGACTAGCCCAGGGCTCACAATAGAAAAGGACAGCCAAGTGCATATACTAATCAAGATCTAGGCTATCAAATTCCTTCATACCACACCTGTATCTAGTGTTCTGACGCTTGCAGAAAAGCCTGCTGAGCACTGGTATATTGAGGCTATGGTGGCTCACAGCCTCAGTTTCTCCAATAGTGATGTTGAGTTTGACCTAAGACCCAGGGATAGGAGTCTAAGAAAAGTGGACTGGAGAACTGGCTAGGGGAAAAATACAATGAGCAGTATCAAATGGGCCAAACCTATAATTTCACCTCCATTGGCTTGGATGACCACCTGACCTGTAAGTCTGTTGAAAGATCTATCCCAAGCCTGGGGATTTAGCTCAGCGGCATAAGCGCCTGCCTTGCAAGCAGGCGGTCGTGAGTTTGATCCCCGGTACTGGTACCGATAAAAAAAAAGCAAAAAGATGGAAAAAAAAGAGAAAGATCTATTCTATTATGCCTAGCATCAAGAGATTTCTCCAAACCCTACAATCTCCCGAGGAAGAACAGCATCTTTTGCCTCCTGTACTATTTCTGGCATTTTTATTCATACATGCCTGAATCAGAACTCTACCCAGTGACACAAATGGGGTGCTCAATTCTGCTGTGAAGATGCAGCCAACAAAGAAGTCTCCAATGTCTCCCCGGAACTTCTGCAGAGGAAAGAAGAAAATAAGTGAAGGTTAAGAAACCACTTGTGGGGCTGGGGATTTAGCTCAGCGGCATAAGCGCCTGGCTTGCAAGCAGGTAGTCGTGAGTTCGATCCCCGGTACCGATAAAAAGGAAAAAGAAAAAAAAAATTAAGAAACCACTTGATAAGCCAAGTGTGATGGCACACATCTGTAACCCCCCAACACTCTGGGAAGTTGTTTTTCTCAGATTTGCAATCCTTCTGCCACAAAGGGAAAAGAGGGATTGTAAGTGCGAGCCCAGTTTGGACAACTTAGTGATTCAGTGAAACCTCAAAAGCTAAAAATCTAAAAATAAATAAGTAAAAAGATTTGGGGTACTGGTCAATGCAAAAGTTCTGGATTCAATCCCCAGTATGAGAGAAAGAAGAGACCACTAGATATAATCAGCAATGGTGGCACATCCCTCTCATCCCAGCTCCTCAGGAGGATTGCAAGTTTGAGCCCGAGCAATTTCTCAAGAAATGAAAGAGCTGGGGATGAGGCTTAATAGTAGGCTACTTCCCTAAAATATTCCAGGCCCTAAGTTTTAGCCCCACAACTCCCCAGAAAATGTCATGGAGAGAAAAGAAAATGCTACACAGGTAAGTTATATCCAATTAATATTCTGCTTTTCCTCAGCAGTATCACTCTGATGTCCAACCCCTAAGACCTACAGGCAAATTCAGGTAGGCTGACTATATCACAGGATAATCTTTCAGTGACAGCTGGAAGAATTCTGTAGCCTACTTTCCTGCATCTAATTTAATCATAGTAAGAGCACTGAATGTGCAGCTCAACAAAGGAAGTGCTAGATGGTAGGATCCCAAGGCCATATGGACAGACTCTTCAAAGAATTTCAGCTGGGGATATAGCTCAGCTCAGCAGCACAGTGCCTGCCTAGCACGTATGAGGTTGTGAGTTTGATTCCCAGTACTGGGGTGTGGGAGGGATATATATATATATATATATATATATATATATATATATATATTCTATTGCTGGGGATATAGCTCAGCGGCATAAGTGCCTGCCTGGCAAGTGCAAGGTCCTAAGTTCAATTTCTGGTACCAAAAGAAAAAAGAAAATTTCAACTAGTCTACTTTTTTCAAGAAAGAAATTAGTATAGTAGGACATGTCCCTTTTACTTCTTAGTGAAATAAATAACTTCTTAGAGTCCTCACTTCTTCATTTATCATATTGTCCCAATAATTTCTAATATTTAGCAAGCTATGAGCTTTTAGGCCAAGTGCCTGCCATCTGATAGGCACCCGGGAATTACAAGTTTCCTTTCTGCATTCTATTTCTCTTCTTTGTTGCATGGGATTTTTTGCTTTATTTTGGTTTCTTCCCACCACACTTGCAGTCCTCCTATCTTAGCCTCGTAGGTAGCTGAGATTGTAAGCATGTGCCATCCTTGCTGGCTTCGGTGAGTTTTTAATGGGAAAACTGTTCTATAGAGACTTATTTGTGATATGAGAATATTGTTCCCCTACCCTCTTTGATACTGTTAACTGTTTCATATTGGGGTTTTCTTTGTTGTTGTTGTTGTTGTTGTTTTTTGGTACTATTCATTGAACTCACTACCTCGTGTTTGGCAGGCAGGCACTGTGCCACTGAGCTATATCCCTGGCTCATGTTGTCTTTTTATCATTTTTACACTGCACTGAACTGGAGACAGGATTTCTGACATAAACACTAAGGAACTAGAGTGCTGAGGAATTGCTAAAAACAATAATGCTGGTGAGGCAGATGTGGTGGCACATGCCTGTAATCCCACCCTGGGGAGATCTGGGCAGGAGAACAGTGGGTGCAAGGTCAGTCCAGCTACATAACAAACCCCTGCCTCAAAAAGCAGGAATAACATTGGTAAAGGAGATCATGAACATTACAGGTTTAATGATCTTTCTCCACTGCTTGCATGGGGGATTGGATTGCTGAAGCAGCTGGCACAAGAGGGTGGGTATGGTAGAAAAGGAGAGAGAAACAGGCAATCTGAACCCCTACGGAAAGATCAGGACACCCAGTTCAACAGAACACGAGTACCTCAGGCTGCTCCTACAAGGCCATACCTGTGCAACTGGCACAAGGACAAAGAGAATAACCATATGGTGCGTGATCATGAGGCGGTTTTGACTCAGGAAGTTGCGAAAAACAAAGGAGTGTCCAGGATTCTGCTCTTTGATTCGGCACCAATCACAGAGGTACATGGCGTAGCAGTCATAGACCATGTACGGAATCAAAAACCAGACATATTCTCGGGCAAGCCAGTGCCTGAAAGAAAGCATATGGATGACCTGTGAAATAATTACGGATGTCAATTATGAGGGTCAAAACCAGTCTCTTCTCAAACATGCTCCCTTCTCCTTTGTACTTAATCAGCCGGTATTATTCCAGATACTTTGTAATGAAGATGTGCTGAAGCTGATAAGCAAGGAGAGTAGACAACTTTTTCTGAATTAAAGGGCAAACTCATGTCAAAGGCAAAAAGTAGGAATCCACTCAGTGCCATGTGTTTTAGGTAGCTTGCTATTATTACTATTTGCCCAGTTGAGCTACTCATCTATAAGTTGAAATAAATAAATTTACAGATTATTCACCAGCCCCACCAAGAAACTGGTTTAAAGGTGTTCCCAATAACAAACCCAAACTTTCTAGTTTAACTAACTCCATAGTTGCTCAACAGTAGGGAGTTTTCTAATTTAAACCCCTGAACCTCTGGGCTTTCTTTTGCATCTACACACACCACCACTCTAGGGCAACTCTGGGAATCAATCCTGGCTAATCCCACTTCTACTCATTAAGAAAAATATGTCAGGAAATGAGCCTGAAGCGCAAAGACTACATTACAGCAGCTAGATATGAGGAGAGGGGAGTCTGGAACAAACATCAGTGTTACCATTTACTTGTCCAATGCAATTGAATCAATATGTGCTTAGAGGCTGGGGATTTAGCTTAGTGGCATAAGCGCCCACCTGGTCATGAGTTTGATCCCCAGTACAAAAAAATATATATATAATATATATATATATATATATATATATATATATATATATATATTCAAAATAATAGTTTAGGGCATAGTGCATGGCCTGGCAAGCGTAAGGCCCTGAGTTTGATTCTCAGTACAAAATAAGTTTATTGCCTTCCTCGAGTAGATTAGAAGGAAAACCTCTACAATTAATACAATATTGTTACCAATAATAAATAGTTTCTATAAAATTTTTATGTAAAAAAGTCATCAAGCTGAAATCATGTACAATGGTAGGAAGCATTAGATTCCCTCAGCATGTTTTTGTTTGTTTTTGTCTTTTTCCTTTTTATCGGTACCAGGGATCGAACTCACGACTGCCTGCTTGTAAGGCAGGCGCTTATGCCGCTGAGCTAAATCCCCAGCCCCTCCCTCAGCATGTTTTTGTTTTTTCTGAATATCTGTGTGGTAGGTAAGGACTATCAATTTTATGATTCTCAAACTATCTGATCAGAATCATGTGCATCAGAATCAACGCTTTACAGATCCACTCACAGAGATTCTAAATCATATCCACTCACAGAGATTCTAAATCAGGACCTCCGATCTGGTTAAATTTAACTTGGTCTCAGTTGATTTTCTGAGACCTAGTCCACTCTACAGCAGCTCTGGGAATATATTATTCTCTAGAGGATGCATGTAAGTTTCTGTTCCTAAAGGACTGACTGCACTTACCACAGCATAATTTACTAATGAATAAACAATGACATAAAGGCCGACAAGCAATGAAAGCAAATATAATACACTTAGAAGTGCATTAATTCCATCTGGACAAAAAGATGCAATACTCATTCCCCTGCCCATCCATGGTCTCAGTTGCTTTCTTAAAGGAATTCCAAATTTAAAAACTGGAAATTACTGAAAGCCCAGCTGAAAAACTAACCTCTCCCCTTAAATGGAACCTAGGATTTAATGCTTTGCACCTAGAACTAAGTAAGATCTGAAACCACAATTCCTAGTAGAATTCTGTGAAAACATTTTCGAGAGGTCTGTGTTATAATCTCAACCACCACTAGCCTGTTACTTAAGTTTCTTATAAGATAATGACAATCCTTGTCTTACTCTACTTCCCTGACGGAGTCATTGTGAAGGTTAACGATTGAAAGTGTGAAAAGCATCCAAATATAAATGGTTCAACTGAGAAAACTTCCTAGAGCTGTAATTTAGCCCTTTGAGGTGTATGAAGTCCCATTAAGAACCCACTGAAATTCTTGGCTCTACACCACATTCAGCCTAAGATTTGAGATTTATAGATACCTCCAGTCTAAAGACAGGAGGATAAAATGAGAAGGCATATAGTAGAAAAATATCTGGGTAAGTGGGCGTGTACTTTGAGTCATGAAAGGCCTTTAAAATAATGATTCAGGTATTTTATCATATCTTTATGCACCCACACAGAGGTGGAGAAAAAGAACGTATCTATTTCGCAAACAGAGAATAAAAAGAGGAATAAGAATAAAAGCATGAAAATCAAAACAGCATAATCAAACCCAATTAAGATTGCAAGCCAGGGACCGGGGATTTAGCTCAGCGGCATAATCACCTGCCTGGTAAGCTCAAGGTTGCGAGTTCAATCCCTGATACCAAAAAAAAAAGAAAAGATTGCAAGCCACAAGCAGACAGATTCCCCACTCAGGCTCTCCTGTCACCCCAACAGGTGACGTGGAATGTGGCTGAATCAATGTGAGAGGGGAATCAGGAAAGCCTGGCCAACACAGGTGACTATCAGTCTCCTACTTAACTGGAAGAGATGAGAGTGGATGTAAGATAACAGGTGAAGAGCTAGGGATTTAGCTCAGCGGCATAAGCACCTGCCTGGTAAGCGCAAGGTTGTCAGTACTGCCAAAAAATAAAATAACAGGTGAAAAAAAGTGGCTTAAAAAAAGAAAAGTGCCAGCTCAGTCCATGTGTAAACACTAAGCATAATAAGTCTGATTTTAATGTATGATTTATTTTGCTGAAGAAGATGCTGTCCGAGGCTCATTTCCTTACCTGTCTCCAAAATGAGCTCTAACAGATATTCAAGTTTTCTGTTAATATATATTGAGTTTTCTGAAAGCACCTGAAAACTCATCACTTTTAGCAAATGCAAAGGGAAAACACAAGGGCAGCATCTGCAGGGAGGGAGGAGTCCTGTCAATAACGCTTGTATTTGGTATCTCAGCTAATGAATGGTCCAGGCCGGGAACTGGCTCAGTGGGCTCTTTAAGAGCCAAAATCCATACTCCTGTTTTGTAAGCACTTTTCACATTATAAAGAAGTTGGAACAACAGACCACACTTGTCCTCTAATATACCACCTTAAATCAGTCTTAGACTCTTGCTCCCCAGCATTGCTTCACTTTCCTTGTAGTTTCCATTTTCCTAAACTGGGGGTGCTGAAAGAAGCAAGGAGAGGAGGAAAGCACTAATTATGGTGCTCTAACTTTTCCCAGTTAGTCTATCATCTACCTGACAGTGTGTGCTCATAAAGAACTAATGCCTGGGAGCCACTGCAAGGTGAAAACTTCGAAGTTCCTCATCTCTGTCATTTGTATCTCTTTCACCTGGGACTGGATGTTACCTGTCTGAGACCACGTTGCTGCAGGAACGGATGATGATGATCCCTGCCCCGGTGGCCAGCACAGCCTGCACTGAAGAAACTATCCTAACGTTGGACAGAGAAGGAAAATATAAGAAAGCGCGTTCCATCCAGTACTGTGGACAGCACAAACTTGCAACCTGACTTTCCCCCCGCCAGGCGAAGGAAAATGGTAGATGTGGGCTGCAGGCTGCGAGAGATGCACACATCCTTCCCTCCCCACACGCACTCGCACTCGCGGGCAGCCCTCCACCCTGGTCTCTCTCCCTCCACGCACAGGGGCTCCACAAGCTCTGCCTCGCGTGACACAGAGGGGCCGGGACGCCAGGGAGGCAGCCCCCTCGCTTCCTGTCGCCCCCCTTTTCCGCCCGCAGCCCCGCGCGGGGGAGGGCAGCGCCCCGGAGCTGGGCGAGCGGGCGGCCCGGCCACGCCCGGTACCTGGTGCCGACCATCACGCAGTCGTTGTAGCTCCATGCCGGCCGCCAGCGACGCAGCGCCCAGGTGCTGAGCGCGAAGAGCCCCGGGAAGAAGAGCGAGCCCCAGGCCAGCGTCAGCAGCATGGGTCCGCCGGGTCGGGCCGCCGGGTCGGGCGCCGCTCGGCGAGGCTCGGTCGGGTCCGCGCGGCTCGGCTGCGGGCGCCGCCGCCCGGCCCTATTTCTAGCCTCCGCCCTGCGCCCCCGACTCCGCCTCCGGCTCCGCCCCGCCAGGCCCGGCCCGGCCCGGCCTGCGCCGGGTGCTGCCCGAGCCCTCTGCGCGGGTCGCCGCGTGATCAGGCGCGGCGGCCGCGATAGGCGCGGGCCGGGCCCCGGGGCGGGGTCTCGCCGCCGCCCCTGGCTTCGCGGCTACCCGGGCCGTCGGCGGTGGGCGGCGCGAGCACTGCCCCCCCGAGGTCGGAGCGCGCCAGCCGGTTCCCAGCCCGCGGACGCCGCGCCCCGCACGAGGCGCGCGCGAGTGGCGGCGGGGCCCGGGCCGTGGCGGGAAGCGCCGGGGCCCGGGGGGGCTTCTGTTCCGTCACCGCGGACGCCTGGCCCTCTGCAGCCCCTGGCCAGTGGGGCGGGTAGGGCGAGGACAGAGAGAGCCAGGTAGGAGCTCGCGCCCGGCCGGACCCTACCACGGAGGTGGACGAGCCCTCTGCGCGGGCGCCACCCGGTGCCCACGGGGCGGCGCGCATCTCCCCGTGGGGCGAGGGAGAGTGGGAGGTGGGCGTGTGGCTGTCGGCGCTCCTGGCCTGTCTACCCAGTGGTTTTGCTCCCAAATGCGGGTCTTAAATAAGTGGTCTTTCTGCACCAAAGAAGGGGAAATCCCTGGGAAAGCCTCAGAGCCTGACCCGGAGTCTAGCAAGTCTCCGTACTGTATCCCTACTGCTTCTTGGCTCTGGGTACAGACGCTGTCCAGAGTCTTGGTTACTTGTTGTTGTTGACAGCGTGCCCTTAAATAAAAGTTCTTGGGTCAGATGCCCTGAACTTGGAGTCTATCTCATTTTTATTTAGTACGAATCACATAGGCCAGTGCCATGGTTTCAGTAGTACTGGTGTTTGTCCTGGGAGAGAAGAAGCTTTACTTTTCTGTGTATCTTCCTCCCCTAACTAACTTGGTGGGGGTACCATTCCTTCCTGCCTACTAGGATGGAAAGGCACTGTGTCTTCAAATCACCAGTGAGCAAAATGCGGACCCAAGTTCCAGTCAGGGGCTTTGTCTGGAACACCTGACTCAGCTCTCAGAGCCACTATTTCCTCAGTTGTGGAATAAGGAGGCTAAATTACAAACTCTGCAGAGTTCTTCCAGCTCTAAATTCTTACGATTCTATGGCCTCTATAAAACAGCAGATGGCTTTTGCTAGATGCCAATAAATTACTTTAACATGACAGTTACTGGTATGGAAATATATAGGGTGAACAGAGCTTTTGTTTGTTTGAACATGTATTTAATTATTGAGTCTAAGAATGTTTATTAGGTTTAGAAGATAATTTTTCATTATTATTATTATTAGGCTGTGATCTTTTTGGATGAAGACAACGTTTAACATCTTCATACACGTTGTTAAGATGAGAGATTCAGCCAACGTTAAGGTAGCAGAAAGCCAAAAGAAAAATCTGAAATTTCATCTACTTAGAGCAACATCTTAAAATCCCAAATTCATAGCCAACATCCTTGGTGAAATGAAAGTGATACTTCAGTTTGGTCCCAAGGTACCTGGCAAACAGGAGGCTTTCTGTATTTTTATATTTGCATATGGACAAAGAACAGCTGTCTGCGTACTTTCTATTCTTCCCAGGAAAACAAACCTTTTTGCATTCCCCTTCCTTTTCCCTACCCAAATATCCTGGTCACCTCTAGCTCCAGTTTTTCCAGTGACAAGTGGTTACAAGCCTTTGCTCCCTTCCCTCGGGGATCAGTAGTGTGCACCAACACACACTTCCGAGTGATGGGCACAAATCTGTCTTCCGTACAAGAAGTTGTTGGTATGGTTCTTAAGGTATATTTGTGAAGTGGAAACAAAACAGCAGATGTTTCATGTATAGAAACAGTGAAATTAGTGGCTTACATCACACTCAGTGAAGTCACCAGAGTGTTTAGGTTGAATCATCATAAAGCCAACAAGCAAAAACATTAACTCTGGCTTTTCAAGTAATCAAACCCCTGTAGACAATTGATAAAGGCAAATCAGAAGCACCAAGGGAGTGGATATCAAGCCAAATACAAACACACACACACACACACACACACACACACACACACACACACACACACTCTTTATACATCCTCCAGAAGGTTTTGTGGTTTTTTGAGACAGGGTCTTGCTATGTAGTTTGGTCTGGCCTTGAACTCTGTATGTGGCCCAGGCTGGCCCCAAACTCATAGCAATCCTCCCATGTCATTTTCCTGACATGACTCGGGCTAACAGGCATGTGCCACTGTGCCCAGCTTGAAGAATAACTTCATAAATGCCAGTTCGGGAGGACTGTGGAGGGTTCTTCTATTACTGAGATATGTGATCCTACTTTTTGTCCCCTCTTTCTCATTACTTTAGGCCCTATTCTGGATACCATTAGGGAACAGGATACAGGGATTCTCCCCATGTCTGTTCCCTGGTTTCCCCAACCTTAAACTGAAAATTAACATTATTTACTTGCTAAATATTTAAGAATTCTCCAGTGAATACCATTAGCTATGTATGAGCTACTACTCTTAATCAAACACATTCTCTTCTTCCCTAGGCAAATGCTTCTACAAGAAAAACAATTGAAATTTCCATGCAGATATCTTCATATTGAGTTCCAGAATTGACAGAGAAGTTGGAGGTTACCATCCATTCATCTGCTTCAGAAATCTAAACAGAGAAAATGAAGCTGTCTTCTGCAATGAAAGTTATTTTTGCTTAGGGCCACATTTCTTTTCTATGTAAGGACGGAGCAGGAAGGAGGACAGAAGAGGAGTGATGTGGGGCTGGGGATGCAGGTCAGTGGCACAGTACCTGCCTAGAAAGCTTGAGGTCCTGAGTTTGACTCCTGGCATGCAAACAAAACAAGAGGAATGACATGATAGGAAGAGAACTGCAGAGAAAGATACCGCCTGAGAACAACTTCCATCAAAAAGAGACCAAGGTAGATAGAGAGATGGATCCTGCAAGTGGTATTTATAGTAGCTTGAACAGGAAGAAAAGAAAGGAACACACAGGGAAAGGTGAAATGAGACATACAAACAAAGCAACAGTGTTTTTTGTTTGTTTGTTTTTTGTGGTACTGAGCATTGAATTCATAATTTGACAGCCAGGCACTTATGCCACTGAGCTAAATCCCGAGCCCCTATAAAGCAACAGTGTTTTATAGAACACTCTTCCCTTTAGGCTAGCACCAAGAAAAGCCATATTACATTTTAAAAAATGTGGCTCAACAAAGCATAGTGGTGCATGCCTATAATCCTAGCACTTGGATAGCTGAGGCAGGAGGATGACTGAGTTTAAGGTCAGCCTGGGCTACATAATGAGACCCTGTCTCAAAAAAACAAACAAAATGAAGAATTAAAGGCCAGCGTAGGCAATTTAGTGAGACTATCACAACAGTCTCCAGTCATATTAAAAGGGGGGAGGTGTACACCTGTAACCCTGGCACTTGGGAGCCTGAGGCAAGAGGATTGCCTCAAATTCAGTGCCATCTTGGGCTACATATGGGAGTTCAAGCCCAGCCTGATCTCTGTAGTAAGACTCTTGTCTCCAAAAACCAATCAACCACATTACTTAAATACATGCAAATGATTCCTCCTCCTGAGAGAGCTGTGAGATAATACTTTCAGAAATACATGATATGCTGGGCATGGTGACACACACCTGTAATCCCAGTACTCAAGAGACGACAGCAGGAGGATCAGTGCGAGTTCAAGGCCAGCCTGAACTGCAGAGTGAGACTCTGTCTCAAAAAAAAAAAAAAAGTTAAACTACGTGCTGGACATAATCAATTACTGTTTTTTTATCTTGGGGTCCTTGCTGTGCAGTTCCCTGCTATTAAACTTAGTAGCATGTGTTAGATTGAAGATACTCTAGACTTCAGTTTCCTCAGCTTTATCCGGGACAGTTTGCAAATGCAATGCAAACTATGATCCTGAGAGGCACAGTCATGCCCTGAGCACATGGTTTCTGCAAACACTGACCACAGCTGCACAGCAGAGGGAAATCTTTGCTCTTGTACATAGTGATAATAATCTGTGTCAATAAAAAACATAATTTACACAAAGACTGGTTATATCGAACTTGCCTTTGTGTTGCCTTACATTTTTCAGAGTGCTTTCACATATAACATTTCTTTTGTGATAAATGTAGACATTGACTTGTTTGTAGAGTCACACCTACATAAAAGCAAGCATTTCTAAACTCAGGTTTAAAAAATATTCAGGGACATCAACTCATGAAGGTAACTACATTTACAGTGAGTTAAAAGAAACAGCAAAAACCTGTGAACAACTTCAGCTGCCTTTCTAAATTATTAGGTCGATATTTTTTAGTGTGTTCATGTCTCAAATATTTCTGTAAAAGATTTATTCTGCTTTCTCAAGTCATATGGCCTTTCTTTTGGTTTTCTTTTCGTTTTTTTTTTCTTTTGGTTTTCTAACCATAAAAGGAATATATTAAAAACATGCCTACTATGGAAAACTAATCACAGTGCTCTCATTGAGAGATACTACTGTGACAGTTAAATGTTTGAGATGATGTCTTACCTTTGAAAATGAATATTTCACTTACATTCATTTTCAATATTACCTAAAATTTCATAAACTTTATTTTAAATGAATTAGAAGTAACTTGACATTTGGATTATTATTTTATCTGTCACAAGGGGAGGATTGGTTTTCACATTCGTTCATAGACCAACGTAGATAAGGACTTATTTCTTGGTGTTCTTGACATTGAAAATATTCAGAGTCATACCCTCATTAGCACCCAATTTCTGTCTTTAGAGTAAGCATTATAATACCTTTAGAAACCAAAGCTCTTATTTAAGTATCTCATTTTTTCTTCATACAGTCTCAGGTCTATTAATTTGTGTAGTAGAGAGCATATTTATTTGGGCACTTGGTATTTATTGGGGAAATGAGTGAAGAATTGTTTGCGAAG